GTAAGCTAGCACTAAGTCCCTTCCCCATCCACCTTTACTCTTTTCTTCACAATAAGGCTTTCAAATGAATCATGGTTGTACGTGAAGGAAGCGTCTGTGTTGAACACTGTCATGCTGTCGATGATGATGATGATGATGATATTTCATCCAAGAAGGGTACAGGGCGAGGGATTCATGCGATGATGATGATGATGATATTTCATCCAAGAAGGGTACAGTGCGATCCAGGGATTCATGCAGATTCACCAGAAATACCACCAAGTCGCCGCCTGCTTCTAACCTGGCCGCATTGAACCACTTCGTAGCCTTCTGATGATCGGTCGGAGCTGAACTCCACGACAAGGGCTTCCTTCGCGGTGGTTCAAACCAACTCCTCGGGGCCCCTCTTAGCAGCACCCAGTGACACCTTCGCCCAACCCATGAAGACGATTTTCAGAGCCGTCAGCCTATACTGACGACCTCCAGCCCGTTTGCTTCCGCCACATCCCCCGCCCTTCACCAGGATGACCGGAACGTTCTCATCCTGAAAGGACGACAGTCACGAGACCTTCATCGTATCACGATAGCGGCACAAAATGAAAATGACGTGTTCTTTATTCGAAAACACGCACAAAACAGTTGCAAGCCATCGGATGTGAAAGCGGAAGACTAATTTAGAGTTTGCGAGACTTGGTGCTTCTGAACGTATTTTCAAATTCGCCTCGGCGTCGTTTGGATATTTGCTATCAGTGAAAAAACGAATACAACTATTCCAAACTCATTCGTCGGATAAAGATGAGGGTGGTGCTTAGAAGCGGAAAGAAGATATTGCTCACATCGTGACCATCGTCGATGGCACGTAAGTGTTCAAGGTTGACGCTTTACTATCGCAAAGAAGATTGGGAAGGGAAATGATGCTAACTGACTGAGTACCTCCGAGGTGCTTGCACCTCCAGACATTCATTCAGGTGATCTAAGGGAAAAGTGACATCGGTAGCCAAAGGTCACGTGACCCAATGGAGTCAATGACTGATTTGCATTTGATGGTTTCCAAGTTACTCGGTGTGAGCGCTTAGGCTGGAAGTTCGTACTGACCAGGAACAGACGAGCCAGCACGCAACGGACGAATTCCGTATTCATTATGTGTGCATCGAACATCGACTCTCAACCTACCACATAACTGTGTTCCTTCCAGGCTTAGTCACTCACGTTGGGAGTTCACGTCAATGGCCAGAATGATAATAATCCTTCTTGCTGACCCAAATAGCCATGGCGGATCCCCATGAAATCCAACTTTTTCAGTTTCATAGCTGCAGTCTTCCGGGACGTATGGTGACACAACAAATAGAAACCGTTATCGCACCGACATGAATCGAACCTAATTGAACCACACAATCGTACGGCATAAAGATGACTGTTCACCGGAATCCAGGAGCTTTAAGTCCTGGAGCTGGGTGCAACTGCACGTCATGGGTCCCACGAGCCATTATATCAAGATGACCAGATACCCGAAGAGTGAAATATGATACATCCAACTTCGTCCTTGACGAAGTTAGGGACGACGATTGAAGTGAGGTCTTGCGTGTTTCGCAGGTACAGAAATGGAAAACAAAGTCCAAGCAAGAGATGCCTACCCCTTAATGAGAGAAAGTACGGACGCTGGAAGTTGCAATTAACAGCAACACCAGATGAGAATACTGGTGATTGATTGTCACAAGACCATGTAACAGATACGTTGGGTTCACCAAGACATTATTTTGGCTGCGTGACATGGAAGGTGTAGAGGGGGTGAGAACCGGTAAACGAGAACCTAGCCAGATCGAGGACGGGAATTTGAGGCATCCCACCTTGAGATTTCCCAGGTGTTTTCGACCGCGATAGGCTTGCCCAACAGGGCATACCTCGGATGTTTGTGGACACAATAAGCTTTTTGTATTTTCAGAGGTGAGCGAGATGTCAAGCTTATCCTTAAATGACAGTGACCAGTCTAGCACCACGAGAAAATCATTCAAATCGGGTACTTTTCGAACATCTAGTACTGTCCACGTATTGTTGCTCCGCAAAGACGTCAAGCGTGAGATATTAAACGCCAGACTTAGATTATATAATTTCAAACTTGTCTTCAAAACGTGATCAAGATAGGGAACGACGACCCACCCGCGATCAGGAGTGTACCATAACAGTAGGAAAACACCAGCCGTGAACACTGAGTACGACATGAAGGTCAAAAATTTGAAGCGATAAATATCCTCGTTTTTATCCGTTTCATGCATCCCATGGGGAACCCAGTCCTGGTACAATTAATTAACAAGCTGTTTGGGTTACCTTGGTCATTTCCTGCACCTCTTGTTCAATGCGGCGACGATCAGCCTCTGGTATTTGGTTTTGCTTAAGAATATGAGGCAGTTGAGGCATTTCAGGTCTACTGAAGACCGAGGATATGTGAATCCATTGCCGCTGTGGAATAAACCGACCACCCGATCTACGGGCGGCACACAGAATGAGCTCGCTCAGCATAGGTAATCGGCGAACCCAGGAAACACGCCAAGAACCCATATCAGTCGGGATACGTTCCTAGGGTATCCGTCCCTGATTGGTCGGATTGGGAACCAGCAACGCAGGACAGATGGAGGGAACGCTGTGAGATTGTTTCAATTTCAACCCAGTTAGCTGGATTCCATGTCATTCTCTAGGCTTAATCCGATTGCTTTTAAATGTAGGTTAAATTAGGGAAGCAGAATTGGCCTTACATTTGGAGTTGGTCACGCTTTGACCTCTAGCGAAATTTCTGCCCGATTTTCTTTATTTTCTCAAGTGAGCTCAATTAAGTTCAGATGCCAGAACCTCACGGTGAGGCCAGTCGTCACTCACTTTTTCATTTCGGAGATCTGTGTGCGCTGCAGCAACAGATTATTTTGGATGAATGGGGATTGCATTTAGGCATCTCACTCAAAAATGTGTTCGTGGTAATATTGCATCTGAAAACTGAAACTCAGGTTCAAAATGCTTAGCAGATTTGCACAAAGCAGAGGGTTTGTGGATTCGGCTCTGCAATTTACCTAATCTGTCCGCAGATTTCGGTCACGCATATGAAAACGATGGGAACGTAATAAGACTGCCGTTTGGGGCAGTGGGACTTGGTTGGACTAGGGGTACCGATACACTTGGGAACATTTGAAACCCAGCGTGGGTTCGGGAATGTGGCAGTCAGGGTCATGGCTGGATAAAAGACAATTTTAAGCGGAAAACGGCCGGTAGCGCGCCCAGAGGCAATCAGGAGGCATAAAAACCCTCTCGTCTTGGACTCTGATCCGGTGTAAGTGACCACGTAGAAGAAAAACTGTCAATTACATTTGGAAAGAATAAGGTCGCTTCCCTCTGGGTCAGCGCTGAAAGAAAGAGTAAATGGTCATAGGCCTCAGTGTGAGGGGCTACATATATATAATGTAAAATCTCGAAGAGGTGTACTTGTGGGAGCTTTTCGGGCCTGTGAGGTCTCCCCAGTTTACGAGCATTTTTGTTTTTCTGTCATGCTAACTTTCGAGCATATTAAAGTCAACTCTGCCCAGAGAGGTCATTCAGAAACACAGCATTCTGTAGGGGCTGTATTGACCAGATAGAGACGCGGTATGGCGATGCTGAACTCCTCCATTTTGTGGAGTTCCACAGAGGAAGTTGATCAGTTTAATCGCCATCCCAGAGGGATAATGGGCCATTATATGTGGAGATCGCCAGTAACGCGCACTCAGCGTGTTGTGGCAGGTAATTGTGAAAACAAAGCGCTGTTCCTTATGGAGGGAGACATTTTTCGTGTGTACACATGTGAGTGTTCCCGAGGTTCGTGTGAAAGAGGTGCGAGGATTCGACGACCTGATGTAAAGTTAAGGATCAGCGCACCGCATCCCCAGGTCGCTAGCGTAAAATGCTGGGAGTGGAGCACAAGGAGGATCAACAAAGATTACGAATAACCGTGGTCTGGGTACCGAACTAGCATGATTCCTTTGTGGATTTGAAATTGGGCTAAAAGTGCACCAAAGCGAAGTTGGGAAGTTAACTTCCCCTTGAGGCCATAAAACTACCCGGTTAATGATTCTTAAACCCCCAGGCCTCGCTCGCAGGGCCAGTACCTAATGCATGTTTTTTCCGGAAGGGACCTTGGAGGGTAAACATCTAAGATCCTTTAGATGGAAGCTGAGGGGGAGGAAATCATGTTGGGTTGGGTTGAGTTGGTTTGTAAGTAAATAAGTCAGCAAGTATTCGTTAACGCCAGAAAGAGAAAAACACCAGGTGGCTAGCACGTCGGGACATTCGCTGAGCAGTTTTGAAGGATGCTGTGGTAAAGGCCAGCAAACGTTTAAGGGCAGATGAGGAAAAAGCCTCCAAAAACGATGCGCAAGTCTATCTGAAATTCGCTACTTGAGTTGTGCAGCATCATGATTCGGGAGGGATAGTGAAAGTAAGAGAAAGGGTCGCCCATCCCCGGAGCACTGCGATCAGTTCAATCAGAGATGGTGCATGGGGAAAAAGCCCATAGGCACTAGCCTTGAATGGTCAGGAAATTAATGGCCCCAGTGTTCTCATCATAACTTGGCATCACGTCATAGAGAGCCGAAGCGTTAATCTAACCAAACGGGAGTTCTTTCCTTGAATGCCGATTACCACTTTCTGTACATTCGTTGTAATCCGACACTTTCGTGACATTTTGCCTTTAGTTAGTGCTGAAAAAGCTTCCACATCTCAGATGCATAGCACTTTGAAAGCCGCTTCCTATTTTTAGTAAGCCGGAGACCCGATTCCAGGCCTGTTACATGGGTTAGGGCCTTAGGTGTCACCCGTCTCTAATTTCACCGACATGCCTGAGATATCCGAATACTTAAGCGACTGAGAGAGCCACTCCTGATGCGACCTAACTGTCTCTGATGATGATTCAACAGAAAACTGCAAGTTCTACTCTACCCCATGGCCTCAGAACACATATTTTTTAACACACATCTAAATAACATCCACCGCTACAATGTCCCCACTCCCGCCTGTCTTCTTAGCTGTTGATGGACTATGATTCAGCATCCCGCATCCCCTCAATAAGCCTTGTTCTCACTCTCGCATTTGTCCAAAATGGTCAGCACTTTTGAAAGCCACCCATCCATTAACATACACCACCTCTTCCTGTATCGTGTACTCGGCTTTCGCACCCCATGGATGTGACAGTGCAAAAGACTTCATGGTCCACGATTCCCACTTTAACTACGTTCCCCTCCCAAGAAACCGCAATACCGCGTGATGAGCCCCATGTTCCACCTCCTGCCACGGATCCAGACCAACTTTACACAACAAATACGCTCTTTCGATTCCAGCGTCAACGCACGCTGATCGACCTTGAACACGCTCAGATAACTTTATTTTACATACCACAGATGCCCTCTCTCAGATTCCCTTAGTGCCAAACTCCGCTGTAGGCGGCGGTAACAAATTCCTAATTAGAACCATTAACTTATCAACAATGTCAAAGGTTTATAAAGAAAATTAAAAAAAGATAAGGCTTTTGTCGAGCGCTTGTGCCATTGGCTTAAGTGAGCCCTGGTTGTGCCCTTCGAAATCCTGCCATGAATCCAAAACATAAATCATAGCCTGATTTCCAGAGAAAAGAAACTAGCTAAATGCAGGCGGTGTGACGCCCCTGACGAGATTCGTTTTAAAAAGCCTTTGCCCTTTTCTAATGTCGTAACCGTGTTATATTAAGGCTGGTTCATATTGCAGTCATGTAGAACGACCAAACAACTCGAGTTTTTATCCACATGCTTTGACCTACTATATCCCTAGACTCACACAACCCCTAAAATCAGTTGTCACCTCTTTTCGCGCAGCCGGTTATATCAGAAAGCCATTTCTATTCCCGGTCGGTACGCTCTTGTTAACCGTAAGCACTAACTGGTAACTTGTGGTCCTTTGCATCTCCCTCATTTGTTTCCTGAATGGGCGTTACTAGAAAAGGTCTGTGATAGCTTCCCAAAAAGCGTTTTGCCCTAGCACACTCGAATGCGTGATATTCGTAGCTCTGCGAAAGCCTAGCAGGTATCCGCCTGGTCAAACGAGCTAACCCCGAAAGCACGTTTGCTTTATATACGGTTTGAGAACCGTACAATCATCCTTGCCATTGCTGTCCAGCTTAATGGGTGATTACACGACCATCACAGACCTCAAGAGCTAATGCACGTTCTGCACTATCACATATTACCACACCCGTTCACACTGGTCACATATCGTCACGCTCACCTATCCCCACTTGAATGTCGACTATGGTTTTGAAATTTGGCAATGTCGACACACTACAGTAGCTAAAAATCACAATCACTCATAGTTTCCTGATATTTCGGGCCAGTCTAACGTCTATCCTAGCGCTCTACAGTAGACCTTTTTGACACCTCCCCATTTTAGATACTACCATCTTGGAGCCCATCTAGACAGCCACTCAGAGCCTCCAATATACATAAGAATATCACCGACCCTTATTGTCCCTTAGCTTTGCTCTCCAAAGAAATTTATCTACAGGGCTGTCCACGAACTCAGGTTTGACTCTGCAATAACGGTACCGTGACCGCCGCACCGTGTGGTGTCTTGCTTATATTTCGTCGTACGCCCACATTTTCCCGCCCATTCTCTGTACCGTCTTTGTTCCGCTCATAAACCCATTAGTACTTTCTGTCGCACAATGAAGTAAGTGTATCAGTGAAACTAGAAGCTCGCCGGACACTTAATATGGCGCTTGCCAAATGTCACGATAAAACCACCAAACTTGCCAGCCGCGATGAATTTATGGGTATTGTCTGTTGGGAGGCCTGCATCAACGATAGGAAACGTTTCCCTATATGAGCCACGAATGAGTGCTCTGTTTTTGTTTGTGCGAACAAAAACGACGTAGTTGTTGTCTACTTATTCTTTCAGAATATTTTCAAATCCCATACAGAAGAAAGCACATGAAGAAACCAACCTTTCCGCAAAAGATTCATTGTCTTCATTGAGACATCAAGCTGGACAATGGCATCCAATAAAAACATGATTTTTGCGTTAAATCAGGCATCTAATACGCGTAAAAATTCCGCATAACAGCTATTGTTTTGCAAAATATCGGGGTTTCGAATAAATACAGCCAATCGCTTAAAGTTAGACTGTCCTTGTTGATACAATTGTGTCAGAGAAATTTCGGGAGTGCATCTAAGGATAGGCCATTCGGGCGTCAGCAGCGCACAACCACTGGAAGCAATTGAACGAAATTTTCGATTTCTTCTGACAGCCACTTAGTCACAGGTTGTTACACATCTCGGTTGCGGAGCTTGCAATCCCGGAGGTAATTTCGGTATTTCAACATAGCCTCTTACAGTGATTTATTGCTTAAGGTTATTGACATTTGTTGTTGTACCTCTGGAATGCATTTGCCTCTGAATGAATGTGCGTCACTAAACGTAGACCCTTTGATCACAAGGCATATTAGCACCTGGATTGCGCCGATTTTGGAAGTTTTCGTTTCTCATATGGTCGAAACACCACGGCTCACAACGTACAAGAGCAAAAAATTGCAAAGCCGAACAAGCGTGTGTCGGCTCAAGCAATTGTAGAGGGAAGTAGGGCGTCACAACAGAGTGGGCTTACCGGCAAATGCGGCTTAGCTTCACCCTACTTCATACCGTGAATTGATCTGATTCACTTCGGTTTTCCGATACTTCTCTCCTTTAAAGGGAATATTAGTAATGTTTATTCTCAACTTGTTGGCGGTTCACCGCTAGGCATGATCATAATGTTACCGTCGGAATAAAAGCATGACTGGCGGGGATTGTGGGCGCGCGTGGGGTAAGGAAAAGAGTGTCACAGGGGTTGGGTACTATCCGAAGTAGGTGTGGTCACCACCAATATGGCACGGGCAGGGAAGCAAATTTACCATACGTTTTTGGAGAGAATATCGAGCAGTCTGTTCGTTAGGATTTGAGAGCGGCGGGCAAAAAACAAGGCGAGGGAAGGAAAAACAACTGGATCCTTGCCTGACATGTGACGAAAAAGGTTTAACGGTGAAAAACGAGGAGCCAAAACATAAAATCTGATGAAGCAGCAGAGTTTGGGACATCCAGCCGGTCATAGTAAGCTAAAGCCTAAACCACCGCTGCGGCCTCGCGACCTTGGGCTGTTGGGATTTTGGCCAGGTCAGAAAAGACGAATGTGATGATGATGAAGTGGGGGATTAGCAAAGCGGATAAGCGGTAACGGGAATATCAGAAACATGGTGGACAGTGAAACTGTAGAGACTCACCGGTGTCGCTGTTGGGGATTCGGGCACACCTCGCTCTAGTCTAGTCCACACCCCGGATTACTCCATCAGCTCTGTCCAGCGATTATTGCTCTCGGCCTAACTCTAACTGACAAAAACCAAACCAAAGTTAACTTTTTTCTATACACCGGTTTAGGAACTGTTAATGCCTGACGAGCTTCCAAATCCCACACCGATTGGAGGCGAAATGGCAAAAGATAACGAAACCCGCGCAATGATCTACATAACACGTAAGATGACGAGGTGGACGAGAGGCTTATGTTTAGGTAAAAAACAAGAAAGATTATCCGGAGGCAAATCCGAAACAACAGAATTGGGAAATCACGTTGTACTCAATGAGCATAGGAGAAATGCATAAACACCACTTGATGTTATACATTTCCTTTTGGAGACGCCTTACAGTGCTTCATAGCCACTTTATTGATGCTCATATTCTCTTCCACATGCACCGCGGCCGCAAATCGGATTTGGCTACTCCGTAAAATGAGGGCCCATAAATAAGAGGGTGGTGCAATTTCTGACCAGTTTGGGAAGTCTGCTGATTATGGAGCAGTGTAACCGTGTGTCCCTTCATCACCCAATGAACCAGCAACACCTGTGATGCTTCTGGGAGCCTGTTAGCTTATTTAGATTTCTCGTCCATTATTTTGAGCATCATGCGGCAGCCCATCAGGATACACGAAGGAACCAGTGGGCCATGATGGTGCGCAAGCCAGCAGGGTGATTGACTCTCATACCTCGTTTATTTGGACTTGATGTTTGGATGGATCTTCAAAGAAGAAAACAAGGGAACTTGGGTAAACTGGTGGTACTCAACAACAAAAAATGCTACACTTTACAATCATTTGTGGCCATTTTGGCAACCACTTTGTCCTGTAAATGAAACCAATCTATGCTGGAGAGCTAAAAAGCACCTTACGGCTGTCTCCCCCTGATTTAGGTTTATCAGCGCTGTGAGTTTTACGTAACTCAGGAAGCTTCGAACCCTCGACCTTCCCGCCAGTGGTTAAACACTTGACCGTTTGGCCACGAGAATCATAGTGATGAATCACAGTTGGGCAGGGTTTGGGGCGCCAGGTTTTCACTCACGGGATCCACGTCAGATGGTTACACGGGCGATAACATCCCAGGTGTGATTTTTACCCAATATATCGTCTCACAAATCGTCATAAGCAAGCAAACAAGGGCGCGGAGGGTCTATAGTGCGCATATGGAAACGAATCACCGACACCTTCCTGGGCCCCATAGACACTACCAAGTCTCGGTTCTCTAGAGTTGAAGATGACAGCCTTCAGTCGGAAAACTACAAGCGTCGACTATGATCCCCTGTGACGAATCCGAATGCGGCACGCAGCTTGAGCAAGGCGTAAGTACATTAGTAGCGTGGACTTTGTGTCTGTTGGGAGACTACCGATCTTGTGAGAACCCGTCTAATAAATCACACGGATAACTAAAAGAACGCATGTCACTCTTGTAGCTCTATGGCTCGAAATTTGCAGTCTGAGTAAAAATCCAGCCTCACGAATACCGAGCAGCACCGATTCTGTGCCTCAGTTTGGTGTCCGGCCATTCATTTAGAAATAACCACACTTGTCAATACAAAACCATGGGGCTGAGCATTATACTTGTTTCGTAGGTAAGAATCTACGTCCAAAGTACCGGTCGCGTTTGGGCCGCATCCCAACACACTGTTGACCTCTAGAACAACATTGCTGCACAAATAGGACGTCATTCCACGGATCCGGTATGCTTCGCTCGGAACAAATAAACGAAATATGAGAACACAGGAAAAAATATGAGCGCCCAGTTTTCATGCTCTTAGCAGCTTCTTCGGATTCTTTGACTTTTCCTTGGTTTTATTGGCCACATACTGCATTTGTGGTACACCCATAAGTAACGCGAAGTAGCACTGATGCTTTTGCGCGCACAAGTACCCCAGTTATCCCTCGTGTGTTCATTTAACGTCTTCTCTAATACCATGAAGTAGAAAACCGTACAGCCACCAACTTCCCCTATCTGAGGCATCTGCAACTGTGAAACTGAGTGTGTTATGAAGATTAAGGAGGGAGATTAGTTTAAACAAAATCGACAGAAGCATCCGAAAGCAATTTGGACTGGGTACTAGATGCAGTGAGGTAAACCATCGGAGGAAGGCTATTTCACGCACCAACTACTCGAAATGAGGAAAACTGTTGCCTTGGTTGGCATATTCAAGAAATGGTCTAACTTGTCAGGAAACCTCCGGTGTTCTGTCGCTGAACTGCTGGTCTATCCGTGCATAAGACATGTCCAAGTAGGCATCGGCTGTCAGGTGCTGGGTGTCTGCAGGCAAATCGTGAATTCGTCAGTCCAGCCTGACGTCCTGGGACAGTTGAAATCACGGGGTGTAACTTGCATAAAATCCGACGTTTTTCGTACGGAAGGGCCCGGCATCGCAAATATCTACATTCGTCTGATGTGTAATGCCTGAGCAAACATACACCGGGGCGCTTACTTACCCAGCGTTTCTTCTCTCACGAACTAGCGACATTCCAGCCATATGAAGAAAGAGGAGTAGCAATGCTCCGTCACCATCATCCAGTACTCAGCCAGAGATATTAGAACCTGAAGATAGCAACATGATCATTCCATCATGTCTCGGTGCCGGGTAACGTAGAAGTGAGCAAAATCAGTGAAACCCTTATGCCGAATCGGCCCTTGCAAGCCCATTGTCATGGCAACTGAGAGAGGGAATTTAAAATAATGCCCCAATAAATAGTTGAAAATGTCTAATAGGTATGTTTAAAGCGGCATCATTATCACCATTACAACAGTTACTACAATACTCTTTGGAAGGAATCACAGGAGACGCTAGCAGGTCTAATAGCGCGTGAACCCGATCCCGAGGCCTTGAAGCCAGAAAAGGCATGTGCGTATTTACCTATGAGTAATTACCAGCAACTAGGACCGGAATAATGCATTTCGGATTCTCGCCCTGATGTATATCAAATATATCCAAGTTCTTCGGAGTATAGAACAGTGTTACGATCAGTTCGTTCACCCACAAAAACGTCGCTTACTGAAACAACTCTTGGAGGCAATAATCGGTCGACTTTTGGAGATCAAGCACGAAATGGTGAAGCTTGAATTGTCTGAGTACCACTATTTTGATGACATTCTTGTGGATCTGAAGCTGACGCCAAATGACGTAGAGATACCTATCCCCAAATACTTCATCTTCGATAATTTTCGCATGCTAAAGGACCGGGAGCACTTTCTTGACCAACTGCTTGGAGGGGGAGAGCCGACCGAGGGAGAGGTATGAGCCATTTTAGCATTTCCATACTTTGGCTGCTTTAACTGAGAGCTCGTGGCCACTATTGAGCTTGTTACGTTCACAATATGGTAGTTCTCTGCAATGGGTTTGGGGTGATTGTGCAAAGCTGAACGTGTCTTATATGGGCTGATGCCAATAACACAAAGTAACAAAAATTCCTCGTTGTATTTCCGCTTGCAAACTGCACCCGTGCAATAAATACCTTATTTTCGAACGTATAGTTATACATCGTCGCTTATGTTGCTTTAGGCATCACTGATTTGTGTCAACAACACTCGCAACACGTGCGTGTAGAAACCGGAATTTATATTTAGAAAAACGTGGCACCTCAGCAAAGACGGTGTACAACTGGATCGAACACCTAAAAACCCTGAATCAGTGCACATAAGCCAAAGTAAGGTTGCATTTGTTATTAAAATTCTGCGGAGCCTTTCATGAACTCCTCATAGGTCACAAAAATAAAAAAATCGAAAATTTGTGGATATGGTGATATTCTCCTATATGCATTTATGATAACAGAAAACTCAGTAAAGCGCCCTTGTGAGTGCATTTCAGTAAAATAGCCGGACTATAGCTAAGAGCATGAACGTCGTAGAATCTACTTTAGGTTCCCCGCACACTTTCATTGAGTATGAACAAAAGAGTGGTAAAAATTCTGTCAATTCAACTTTCGTGGCATCACTGAATATGCCTCTGAGTTATGGGGGTCTGTCGATGGATATTCCACCGTCTGAAGAGCACCGTCATCATCTGTTGCAGAACGGTGAACATGTTGTACGGCGGGGTGACAATAAAAATTCAACTGCACAGATTTGGAAAAGCAAGGGCAAGTTACCTGCGCTGGGAAATCTTCAAATGGATCCACTAGGTACTCAAAACTGCTTCTTCTGGAAGAACAGTAGTGTAAACAATGCAGTCCTCGAATGCCTGAAAAATAGGCTACAGGGTGGCATAACCGGGAAGAGACTGGTAGCTAGATAATTACTTTTGAGATAGCCATTCTAGGGGCAGCTAATTAGTTAGAACAGGCTATTCATCTTGCCATCTGGACAGAGCAGGACTTTGTTGGAAAGGAATTATATAACGCTGTCTTTGATACGGGGGCTAAATGTCTGTAGCAAAGCTACTAATTTTTCCAACTTAGCACTATAGGGGATTAGAAGATTGAGTGTTTAGCCATATCAGAAGCACAACCGCAATCACCGGACAATTTCTATTAGTGATGACATCAGAGGGCCGAACAAACTCTCGTTTAAAAAAATTAACAGAAATCCCTTAAGCAGATTGATTTCAAATGGCAGATCCCTCTAAACAATGCTACATTCTTTGAAGGTATTCAACCATACTGTTTGTTTCATCGCCGCTGCCGAAACCTGACCGCTTCTGAGTCATATAGAAACGCCTGATCTCAATTGGGCCAAAATTTTCTAGTCACCATTTACGGCACAATAGTCAGAATATTCCGATGGATAACGTAAATGAGTGTCACATACAGCTGTTTCAACTGACGGGGCAGCGAAAAGTATATATCGTAAGCCATCAACATTTAGTATATATCTGTACCGGTGTCCGGGAGTGCGACGACATAAAGGACTGTCGGCGCCAACGGTAAATATATTTTACGGTGCATCGGTTAGAACTTATAAGTCTCAAATATCGACCAGAAAAACCCTGGTTGCAATTTCGAAGTTTATCTGAGTAAAAACATAGGCATTTTCATATGGGTTGAATATCAAACAACCTGGAGTGTTAACTTGGATGTAACACTAATAGATAATTTGCCGGTGGATGTCGGAGATGACGAGCTACAGACTGGAAGGTAGCAAAATTGTTGAGTAAGAAAGACAAAGATAAAAAATAGGGCCAGAATGCGCCATTTCCAGGGAAAGAACAAAGTGAAAAAACGTCGTACAGACTTGACACGGCATACTTAGATAAAGTAGTGACCAAGAATTTAAAACTGTGACAGACTACAGGCCTAATTAATCTGCTCCATCTGAGTGGATACTGACAGAACACGTCCACAAATAATACTGCTTTTTGTTTGTGACACCGAGCGCATTTTCACCACATAATGAGGCTTGTTACTATAAGATTAGATTTCGTAGCCTGTTTTGAATATTAGATTCCAATTTAGACTGGAGCTGATTTCTTCACGTGGTGGTATTTGTAGTGGTCAGTCCGTGTAGGCACAAAGCAAACAATCAGCACATGTGCTAGTAATCTGAAACTGACAAAAAGCTGACAGTAGAAGAGACTCACACAAAAATCATTGCTGCCTGCTAACAAGTCATTCATGTAGTGGTTGCTCAGGGAGCTGTAAGCGACGCGAAAAAGCTTTTCTGATGTTTAGGTTTAGAGTGCCCAATAAAAAACCCGGTAGATAAACCTCATACGATGGCTAGTTGAAACAGCACGAAGCTTACCCAGTGGAATTCCAAGAAGTATTTTGCAATAACTTTGCGATGTCGATGATTATCTCTTGTAGCTTAATTTAGGGCGTGAAACTGCTTCTTTTGAAATGGTAGAAGATGATCAATCGTTGCCACTTCTTCCGATGGCCAGAATTGGGGGTTACAATAACCCAGCGGAATAAGCCTGTCGAGAATTTTACAAACAACACAGACTAAGCGAGAACAAATGGCCTCAAAACAGTCGAACACTTTACTAGATGTAACCGTATTACGAGGTAGCCTAGGAACAACTGCCTTCTGCGATGGGTGTTAGGGGGTTCCCTCCATGTGGTCAACATGTTTGTATTGTGGAAGCAATGGTTACGTCTTCTTCGAGAAAGGACGGGCTAGTAAACATCGGTCTTTATATCTGCACACTCTGATTGGCCGTTGGTCCATCGTGAGCGCCGGTCTAGAAGTAATGAGTTTCATCACGAGTTTGATATGGATACAAGCGCATCTGCTGCTGGCGGAAGCACCACAAACGAGACGTGCCTTATTCCATGCTTCTCTAGTGTTAGGCTATCCCACTAAGCTTGGCAGAGGGCACTATCCAGTCACCAGCTCTGTGTGAAATCTCTAAGGAAGCCTCATTCCCCATCGCCACGCAGGCGCAGTTACTTTGGAAGTTACTCAGTTAGACCATCATCTGTGGCCTGTGCAACATGAAGGTAAAATTCACCCGGACATTTTTTGTCCAACAATGCCAACACACGAACCCTTTCCGCTCTACAAGCAAGCATCTCTTGGTCATGTGAGTTTTAATTGTCAGATTGATGTACTTTCCAACCCGTTACCGATTAACACTAAACAAAAGAGCACTGCCAAATTTGCGAGACTCCTTCTACCTAAGAGGTTTCATTGTCCCCACTGAATCAAGTGAGCAAAAAGTTGGTGTTTGTCCAGCCTCAAAGCCGCTTAAAACTGCTGTGCGTTTTGTTCACAGAGCACGAAAACTCACGCGTCCTTGTAAATCCATAAGAAGCCAGGACAGAACCGATCCCCACCTCCTACTTCTCTTATGTCTAATGATTCCAAAACGGTGACACATGGTGATGAAAGGGCTTTGAAGGCGTTTAATGAACAGATACCTTTTTAATATCTAGTTAGTCTGCTCATTCAAGATTGGCCCAACTTGAAACAAAAGCCCGTGCGTGTTTAAAGTGTCAGCTTGTGCTCCAAAGGGCTTCGATTTTTACGCTAAAATGGACAACTTCTATTGTTATCTATCTAGGCAGATATATCAGGCAAGAGACACCAACATTGTTGTTTCCAGTGATTATATGAATGCCCAATTAGACCGTGTAGAATCACATTCAGGCATTCGGATTTCAGTCTATACTTACCGCACAGACAACAGAAAGCGACTCCTTCAATTATATAATAATCTCCTACACGAATTCCCGCATCGAATAACCCGGCTCCCATCGACCGCATGTCAACTGTGAATCTTATTGAATATTATGGTTACCAGCCGCCATTGGAGAACCAAAATGCAAGACCAACAATTCTTCTGGGGCACACGATTCGATTTCGATTGCACCATAGCGCAAGTCTCTCTGTCAAGTTGATTTCCTGTAGATCAATACAAGTACGCTAGAAGTGTATCAGTATATCTTCCATTCAGGATGACGATAGCTACAATATGCATAAATTAGGGCAGTATTGGGAAGGATGCGTGGGAACGCGCAAAATAGCTATGCTGTGGCGTTTGAGGTTTTCGTGCAACATCCCCATTATGACCAAATGATCATTGGATATCGTCACGATCAATATTCCAGAGTGATTTAAGCAAAGATATCGTTGCATAGGCCTAGTGTGCTGAAGGTGCTGTCTAGTCTCCACCTTCGAAGATTGACTGAAAATGAGGCGGCAGTTTAAGAAGAACCACGCTGTATTGCGTCCTTCGAAGGGACACGCCGGTCACACATTTACCCTCGTTGAACAGCACCAATGTTTCTGGCCTTTTCTCTTGAAAGCTTCATCTGACCCGTCCGATCAACGGGTAATGTGGTAGTGTCCATGGATCAAAGGTTTTTCTCATAAATATTTGGCTTTCCGTAAACCATTGTGTGCTCTCTGCCACGGAAGTGTAGGTGACTACGGTAAGCTCTTGTCTGAGTTTGCTACATCCAGTGGCATCATAAAAGGCTGTCCCCTTTTACCTTTCCTGTTCAACTTCACCACTCTCATGATCATGGAAGACGGACCATCAGGCTGGAATGCCTGTGGGATCAAAGGGCTATCAGAGTGTTCTCCACATAAACATCCTGTAAGCAGTCCACCTAAAAATTGTTTTATATAGACGCGCAAAGATGCAAACAATAATAGACTGTATAAATAATGCTGTCTCATTCTTCCAAAGTGTAGAGTTTTGCTACAAGGTGATTGGCATCGAGCCCAAACACCATGCCTGCGAATTACTTGAGGTACTATCCAACTCAATCTGCCTGCATAGCTGTCTCAGCCCCTGTGATATAGTTGAAGATGGCATTACCTTCCGGACCAGAAGACCCGGGCGGCTTATGTCAACCTAGACGATCTGTAATAAGAGCCTGTTTGTTTGTGATCTATCTCACAATGTTGTGGTATACACTCCACTGTTATATGATCGATACCAAGAACATAAAGATCGCTAAAAGTGTTGAATGTATGGCCATCGTATTTTTAAAACGTCAACTCAGCAGTACTGAAGGGTTTTGGAAAGCTTTCGGAGACACTCACTTGCCCACGCTAGACCATATTATCACATTTCATAGGGTTATTCACGCACCTTGTGTCACCCGACCGAATCCCTCGTGCAGTCTTCTTCACATGGTCACGTAGAGGGTAGAAACGAGCAACAGTGAGTCAGTCAGTATCTTGACTGTAAAGTATGGAAGCTATTACTAACAAAATCAGCTACGCAGGCCATATCCTTAGCTAGTGACTCCGAGATGGGACACATCAGTGCTTAGAGACACTGACACCCAGTCACTCGATCAGTTGCGCGCATGCGTTAAAGCCGTTGCCTTCAGCAAATAACTTCCCTTTCCGATCTTTGCAATAAAACGTACACTGTCACTCCTGGCTTCAGGTGGCAGCGATATCAGCTACCACGCGCAGTGCTTAGCTTTCCACCCTTGGCCACCTTGGACAATACCCCGCTAACAACACATGCTATTTTTGTTGCAATACCTTTCTTCATCATCCTATATTTCATACATGTTGTGAGGAAGAAAGCGCCATTTACTGCTGCCGCACCACCGCCTAATAAGCTGTACCAGATACTCAGGTTGATGTGCTGTCCCAAAAACCAAGTGTCTCAAGAACTCCCAATGTTCTTCTATATCAGCCCTTCATTACAAATACGACAGGACGAAAGACCATCATGAGTGTATCAGGGGCCAAGCTAGGCCAAGTGCCGTTACCCTCTACGTAATTATGCTTTCGCGCCTCCAGGATTCAGGTAATACTTGAGAAGTAGTTTGGATTTTGGAAGGTTCACAGAATGTGAGCATTACCTGCGCTTATCTGGTAGCACGAAAAAGGTACCTTGTGCACATACGATAACCCTCTTTTAACCTAATACACAGAACGCTCAGACTAACGAAAGGTTCAGAGAAGTGAGCGATCTGAGAAAAATCATTCAATCAACACAAATCTCACCATACTGCTAAGAGGTGGCCATTAAAATTAGCCATCAATAGTTCTCTAAAAATGTGCGACCTCACACAGTCTTCTGTCTTTTAGCGCCACTTGCTTTCAAGTCCCATGGGGGATAAACTAAAATGTAACAGGAAAACCTCTGAATATAAAACGATGGGAGACTGTGAGATAATGCGGTCAGATGGTATAAAATGCCCCTGAATGAGTGTACCACCATTTAACAAAAAGCTGCATAGGTCAAGTCCCAGGCTTCAGTTGAAAGGCAACAGAAAACGGGTTAATATTTTACATAATGTTTTATAACATATGTTGTAATAATATTACGGTATAAGTTATTTAATATTATAGTATATCCTACAACATAAAAACCTATCACAACTCAGTGTTTACTATCGTGACGTTATAGATGACCACTTTGGTTCAGGTGGTCGTAACATGTGAAAGAGTTGAACTACTCGGCTGGAATTTTCCGAGTAGATGACTTAACCGTAATCCGATGTGCGAATAAAAATTGATCAGAAATAAGCTTGAAGTGGCCGACAGTAGGCGAAACTTGAGGAGTTTCTTACAGCTAGAGACTAGAGCTAGAGAGCTAGACCTTACTGAATAAACGGTGCTTATGCTTTTCTGTAGCGTAGGAGAGGGTTTAAATGACGTATTGCCACAGCTTCTGAAGTCTTACTCAAGTGTTTTGATGCATAGGGATTTCAGAGACAGCTACTACCATGGACAGCAAGCAAAATGTGTCTAGCTATGGCAGGCTTAATACGTTGGGATTTATGTTTCTAAAACTGTTTTTGAATGTGCTTGGGCTCAAGAGCCTGATTATACCGTCAAACTGGTAGGTCAGGTTTGAGTTAGTGGACAAAGGCACACAATCTCTCCTTGGTATGATACGTGAGCAAGGAGTTTCATCATACCAAAGTTTACATTCAGTGGACAGCTTTGTAATTCCGTCTGATTCATTGTAATGACTCTTAATAAGGATCTTGACCAAACAGCGAGTCAAATGATACCGTTTTCCTTGGTACGCGTAAAAATAGCTTAGAATATCTTAGGGATTTAGAATAACTGCCAGTGAGGCTTGGCGAATAGGTGGTTCCACGTTCACCGTCCAGGGTTCTAATTCACCTGTGGGCTGCAGATGAGTGCTGGCTGGTGGCCAAGACATTTGTTGCTCAAAGTATTCAGCCCACCGGTCAAGGCGTTCCTCCTTATTAGAGATGGTCGTTCCATTCTGATGCTTGATGCTTTCACTCACAGGTGGTTTCCGGGGAGGTACGCGTAAAAATAGCTTAGAATATCTTAGAGATTTAGAATAACTGCCAGTGAGGCTTGGCGAATTAATTTCAGACTTATTAATAAGCCGTGGACAGTGATCCACATTCCGCTGCTTGAGTGTTTTGAAGCCAGTGGAAGCTAACTTCTGGAATTGAGAAGAGGATTGACTAATGCCAATACGGTGGAAAGATTTCGAGAAAACATCGGGTTAAATTCTAAGGGTAAGAGTCTAACCACAATTTCATCTTTGGCTATATGAATTTCATAACTTGATAACCGTTTTTCACTTATAATAAAGTAAGCACCATATACATTTCCATCAGGACACCTCTATAAACTGAAAATTGATAATGTCTCTGGTAATTTACTCGAAATTAAACCGTTGGTCACGTATCGCTTTTCGTTTAGTTTCTACGAATGTGAGAATGGCCTTTAGAAAATCGATCATGTTGCAGCGTTACAGTTATTTCCTTTCCACAAAGAACAAGATAGTTTTCTGGGAAGGACTCTTTAGAAGGATACATTTTATGTCGTCTAGATAGCCTACATTAACTTCAAGAATGAAAACTGGTTGTATTGTAAGCAAGGAAAACCTCACAAAAACTTGCTCAAAGGAATCCCATCTGCTAAATCATGACATATTCATTCTGTGGTACAGTTTAGCGGCACAAATGACATTTTCTGTGCGACTCCAGGTTTATTGCACCTTTTTCGGTAGTTAAATATGATCGTTCAATACCTTCAGGAACACGAACCTCCAATGACAAGAGACGAGGCAGTGCGACTCATTCAGCGCCACGAACGTGCTCGTCAAGGTCGATTGCGTGCAAAGTTTATGCGTGAAATTCGAAGACAAGAAGAATCGGGCAAAACGACCGAGAAAATTCAGAAGACTATGAATCCACAGGATGCCGTCATTCTTTTGCAAACTGTAAGTTCGGGGGGTTGTATTTCGCTTGAGGCTAATTTAATTTGTCTAATAGTCTATCGCACGCAGCTCCAGTGGTGCCTATTCCACTTATTATGAGACGGCCTAGTGGGGAGAATGTTTTTAAAAGTTACGGGATCACATTATGAACGTTTTCTGCTGATAATCAGACGAATGCAGTGCAACTCGAATTGGTCACAAGACTGTATATCCGCACACCTTGTAAGGATTGAGTTGGTGGTATAAAACGACTGCAGGCCTCAGACAAGAATTCCGACTACTGAATTGTGAAATATGAACTGCACTTTATCGGTACATATCACGTCACTACTGGAGACAAGACCACTGTGTTTTCATCTATTACTACGTGGAATTTAAAACAGATGCGGGAAATCCTTCGTACCCCTTCATCTACGGGCCGGAAAACCAGCGATTGAAGACTTCATCAACAGTGATGTCCTGAAGAAATATTTAATTCGCTCTGTAGGCTTAGGCAACCTGACAGGCCCCCTTTGGGTGGCATGACAACTAGGCATCAGGAGTCTTATAGCTTAACGGCTAAATTTTGGGTATCTTTTGAATCCACTGGCATCTAAATCATCCTACCGATTGATCCCTATCAAACTCCGTATTTTGTTTCCAAAACAAGAGCCAAAACTAGTAAGTTCCATATGTTTTCAGATGGGTGCTTTCCTGTCCAGAGAAGCCTCAACATAATTTTAGCGAGCTTTTTCTAAACTTCAATATCCAACTTTATGGGTTAAACCTTTCAGAGTACGGTAGCTGCTAGCATTTTAAATATGCTTAGGGGCCACCCTCAGGGTTGTAATACCTCAAAAACCTCTGTCTACTATACTGTGAACTATAGGTTTCTCTTTTCTATGCGAACGTTAAGTAACCTTTCTCTAGTCCATTAGAACTTGTCACTATCTCAACCCAAATTATACAAAATCGTAACTGTTTATGACGAATGCAAAGCCTGAGATAGAACTGCTCAAATGCTGCTTGAAATCAGCAGCGAATTTAAGGCATTCTTCATCATCATCAGAAGGGGGTTGTAAGCAGGCCACCGGGAGCACAAGTTGTGAAAGTTGAGGCCTTGGTTGATATTTGCTGGAGATAAAAAGGTTGACACAATATGTTAGAGTTGGACAAGGCTGGCTTTCTGGAATGTATACTTTCAAACTACCCTACTGCTGTCCAATGGAAGTAAAGTTAGAATGGTATCTCTTCAAAGAATGTGTCTTCACTATCCTCAAAACACCACTTCCGATGTTCTTGTGACGCAGAATACCATGCGAGCAAAGGCCAGAGTGGGAACTCCATGCAGCGGGTCTCTTACATCTGTTAGGCGTATGAATAATGGTATGAATAGAGAGCTGTTCCCTGCAACTGGTTGGACGTCCTATAAAAAAATTTCATTTATATGGTCCTCAACTATCATTTTTCTTCCGCAAGGATCGTTTTCAAAAACAAGCCACTTGTGGTTGATCTGTGAGTTCTTCTAACGTTTGAGTCCCTCATAGAACAATCCAACTGTCTAAACAGACCGCCTTTTGTGAGTCTTCGAGTTGGGACTATGTTTCGTGGCTCTAAGGAGACCATTCGAAAAGCTACATCGGAACGGATCACTTTTGGAGGTCTGTCTCTTTAAAAGGACTCAATTGTGCACTGATTCTCTTCGGAAGAACTACTTTAAAGAACTGAATGAAAGCACCTCATTCTGCCGGTTGTTTTTTGTGGCATAGAGTTTACCTCTGAAATATGTCTCATGGACAAAAAAGTTGGATTATTTTTTCGTCTGCTTTTTGTTCAGGGTGGTCTCTTCAGAGACGGACGCCCGCAGAGAGGTGAAAATATTTATAGTAAATTTGCACATAAGTTTGAAACCTGGTGTGATTCAAGTTGGCGTTTGTAAGGCGACGTCTTTTTAAACAAGTTTGGCAGAGTTTCACGATGGTGGCGATTCCCGTGGACGAAAGAGTCTGTCTGGATAAGAAGCGTTTGAGAGGTTGCACGCGTCACAAAAGGGAGCCATACTACTGATACACTACTTCTGTACATCATTGTATTTTTATTAAATTTTGAGGTAGTTACAATATTATTTGCTAGTACGGTTGACAGAACGTGTTTAATGAACTTTATTTCTGCATATGCATTGTTAGCAGTGTGGAGATATTCGGAAAATTTTAAAGGAGATTTCATCCCGTACATGGGGCCAATCTATGCCAAGAAGCACTGAAAAGCATCGAAAAGTACTTCATAGCTGTTTCATATTTATTGAGAATCATCAGCAGTGCGCATCCCACGAATCTCCAGGGGGCGTCGAATCCGCGATCTCCTCGCTAGTAGTTTGAACATAAACTTTTGTCTATACGCGGCTTCTCGACAGTGTGATCAGCGCGCACTCAGACAGGACATAACCCCATTCATCCCTCAACCAGAGAGGCCACACCACGTGGTCACGTAGTGACTGGCTCATCAAATGATGACTTCTCAGATGTAGGTTTCACTCGCCTTGTGGCATTATTCTTCCTCTGAACCACTTATAAACTGAGGAGGAGATTGGGTTATTCTCAATGAAGATTTCGTCTGTGGGCTTCGTGAGATGCGCAATGCCGATGAATTCCACTAAGGCTGTGCAGTACTTCTCGGACTTTCGGCATAGATTTGCTCCTGTTTCTGCATATTTCTCTTCAAAGATTAGGACTTGAAATTTCCGTTCGTTTTAATGTTAAAATTATAGCAGCTTGTGGCTTTTTGAGTATGCCAACGACTTAAGTGCTTAGTTTGTTTTTGTTCCATTCAGCTATGGAGAGGAGTTCTAGCGCGGCGACAAGTGCGCAAACTTAGACATGAAGAGCTTGTTTGGTTGGGAATGGTAAGTGTGCGTTTTTCATTCGCCACTGTCACGTGGTTTGTTGTTAAGTCTATGAGAAATCGTCGAAAACCAGCTATTTTTAATTACTTGGTTTGGTTCCATTTTAAAGGCCAAACAGTTGGGGCGGGAAGCAGCCTGCTAGTCTGTTTAGAATTCAGCAAATGGTCCAAAGTCACAAAGATTGCAAAAGTGATCATAACCTCAGCTCACCTCAGCTCGGTCATATAGGTACACTTTGTTTCATTTGGACATCAGCTTGGTTGGCAAGTGGGGACAGGAGACTAGCTACTTGAATAGGACGTCATTTATTATGTAATCCTTAAATTTTTCCAATAGAGCTATTTCGCCGGGTCATCATAAGAGATATCCTTGTTCAATAACGTCACTGGGCGCGTCGAGCCTCAATTCATACGGGAACAAGCATTCAAGCAGTAATGAACAAATTGTAATTTCCCATTTTAGTATTTGCAGAGAAGATTAGTATTCCACAAAAGCAGGATAAAAACTTGTAGATATACAAGTACCGTCCACAGGAACTGTGTTTTGCTTTCCCATTCCTTTTTCTGTTGACCTGCTGCGCGATCAGTCTACCTACAAGCGTAACGTCCATGAGCTTAAATCGTCTAGTCTCATCAAATTGAGAGAAGCTGTTTTCCGGAAGCTATACTAACCCCTGTGTCATCCAAATGTTGGCCTCAGATCCCGGGCAACCTGAACTTGCTGCTACATAAATCCAACGTGGTCAAACTTGCACAGCGTGTGGAGGCAGTGCGAAGGGTGACTCAGAGTATTTTCGAACAGGAATACCAAGATGCCCTCATCAAAGTGAAAGAGAAAATACGAGAGAGTGAAGGAAATGACATGCGGGAGATGATGCAAGATCAAATTCGTCAGTGGTTCGTTGAATGCAGGTAAGTATGTGGCGTCCAGTTAGGTGGCAGTACAACACAATGGTCTCCCCACCTAGAACATCACCACGACCGAAAAACATCTTTTTTATTCTGAAGGTTACGGCAGCGAAGCATCGGTGTTGAACACTGATATCATGCTGTCAATGATGGTGATAATATTCTGAAGGTGGACCTACTCTAAGGCGAGAAGAAGAGAATGTCCAACAAAGTGGTGACCTCTGGGTGGTGAACATTTTGCTCATTACTTCTACTGAATGATCAATTTTAATCGGGCTGTATTTTCCCCTAAAATACAGAAGGCGGAAAAAATTGGGAAAATTTCACACCAGAAAGGTGGCAGTAGAAGGTCTCCCAGGGTGGCGCGAAATCACCATTTTGATGATCGATGCAGTGAGGTCATGAGAGTAATTGGTATTAGACAGAATGTAAACAAAAAGCATGAAAAAGCTGACTGGATAAGTCGCAAATGATGGATGGACGGATTTCGAACTTGGGTAACTCGCACCAAAGTACACATTTTTTTGCGCAACACGAGTTTTTACCACAATGTCTTTCGAACATTACACACATTCCTAGATAAAACAGATAAGCATCCAGAAGACAGGTGATAGCATGTCATCGGTTTTCATAAAGAAAGCTACTAAAAAGGTTGCTGAAAACTCTTCGACAGCCCACTACCGGTTTCATCCTTCTTGGGACTCGTCAGGTAGGCGCAGTCCCCAAGTTTCCGTCAACCTTATGTTCTACTTGAACCCAAATTGGACTGTTTTTGAGAAATGCACTCATCTGCAGACCAGTTTGGCTTTCATGAGAGATTCGACTGAATCTCTCGTTTATGATGTGTGATCAGTTCCTTCATTGTAATCGGTCGCACGCATAAAACAGTGTACATTCATAGACTACACAGATTCTTACAGACCCAGCTGAGAGGGTCGATGAGGCAACAGGCTTTACCTTCATAATTGCTGAAGTTAAAAAAAACTAATCAGCGATGGGATGTGACCGTTACCCAAAAGGTATGAGACAACTTTTTTGACAAATAAGTGCTTTGACCCAAGCCAAGTAAATCCTAAACAATCGTACAGTTCAAGGCGACATCCAGAATATAGGCAGGACTTAACTGAAGTCAGACTCTAACTCAGGTAGCAAGATTAATCTCGCAGCTTCAGAGTTTTTTTTCGGAACTTTCTGGAACAAATGAAATTCATCATGAAGATTCTGAGTTCGAATCTGCCAAAACGGTCGCACATAAGTTGACAAAATCGCCGAACTGAAGGAACTTATCAAGAACCTCACAACAAAGAACAACTATTCATTGAGCATGGTGGGTAAGGATAGCTGGGCAGCCTACGTGCATTTGCAACTCATGGAAAATCAATTTAACTGGCATACAGAGCCGAAGTTCGCCTGATGGATAACAAGAGAATCGAAGATACTCGAAGCCTTGAGTTGCTCGCGAGTCGGGTCGGGAAACCTCCGTGCAGCATCTCAAGGCTTCGAGCATAGTTCGTCCAACCTTCGTATTTCGATTTTGTATTCGTGATTCGGGACGAATGCCGTGGAGAACAGGTACAAAAGTTCTGCGCAACTTTTTTGTTCCGCCACTTTAAAGAGAAACGTGCAGTTCTATCTGCAACGGCTGTTTTTTTTGCACTGAGAGCCAGATGCTGGCGTCTTTGTTCAATCAGTGTCTTGCTCGAATACTTTAGCTTCAAAGCAATGGGACATTTTAAAGGAAAATCGACTCCGTGGTGTGCGAATGAAGTCCAACAAAATATGAGGTATAAAAGAATGTTCCGTGGGCCTGAATCTGTTTCTGTTGCTATCACAAGAGAGACGTCGCACAGATTACATCCAAACTGCTGACAGTGGAATGGCACCACAATCATTCGTTGGGAAATGTTGACCAATGGTCGGATCGTAGGGAGGACAACGGCTTTGTGAATTGCTGGCTTTTTTACTCGTGATTTTCCAACGCACCATCATAGGTTGCATTCCGTATTTTATCAGATACACCAATTGGCATACCATTCTGGATTTCCCAGCCGAATCTCTCGTTTATGATAGTCTACAACTGAATGTGCGTTCACAAATGTCTTCTCGCGTATCAGCTAGAATGATATTCTGCATATTGCCTCAGGTTTTCACGAGGGAATATACTCATGCGGTTGATGGAAAACCTTCGACAGCCCACAACCGATTTCATTCTTTTTGAGGCTCATCAGGTAGATGTAGTTCTCGAGTTTCCATCAACCTTATGTTCTAACTGAACCCAAATTGGACTGATTTAGGAAAATACACTCACTTGCATATCAATTTGTTTCTCACGGGAGACTCAACCGAGTCCCTTGTTTAAATTCAAATTAGCGTGCGACTGAGTGTAATTCAAGCATTTCGTTCACTTTGGGTTCAAGTGGACCAACGGTTAGGGGGAACTCGGGGACTGCGCCTACCTGATAAGCCTGTTGTGGACTGTCGGAGAGTTTTTAGCAACCTTGTGAGTAGTTTCCTTCATAAAAATATATACTGCAGTGTCTCGGATATCGTAACAACTGAAACATTAGACGGCCTTTGTCCAGCTCATTCAATTGAAGGATATCATAAACGGGAGATTCAGTTGATTCTCCCGTGAAAGTCCGGTTGATATACAGATGAGTGTACTTGCCAGAATGCCCAGACAAACATTTTTCTCAAATTAAGGCGCACAATGATCTCCTGGTGTACTGTCCTTTCCATATGGATTACGTTAAGACCAGCTAGTCTCTCCCAAACACCCCTCACACAGCATTTTCAAGCCCTCAGCGCCCGACCTTCCCAGAAATTTCAAGTGATATTTGCATTGTCAGGCATATCCCACTTCTCTACGGCAAAGGAACGTTAGCTCAACTTCCGCACACACCCTTAGTGGTCTTCATCAACGCACCATAGTTCAAAGATACAGACGCATGTAAAAGACATGATTCTTCTGCCTCATATCCTAATCGATGTGCACTAACGAGTATCGGGCAGAAAATTTTTGAGTAAGAAGGCTGTCATGGGGTTTACCCACGAAAGGTTAAATGTTTAATACAGACAAAAGGCGACACAGTAAGCACTAGAAATTACATTCGCTAGTTTTGATGCAGAAAAGGGGGTTTCGATATTTGCTCAACGGCGGTCCAAGTGCACTCATTCAGGCGTGAAGGGGTCACCGAAGTTGGGAGCCGAGCCTGTCTCGACTTTTTTGGTGGCCGATTAATTCAATTTCCGCTTTATCATGGACATTGTTTCACGTCGTACATCGAAGCTCAATGGATCATCAGTAAATCTTGTTATCTCTGATGAGGTGATTACCAAACAGATCAAATGCTGAGATACTCCAGCTGCCCAAAGGGCACTTAATTGAGCTGAGAAATATTGAACAAGTTCAGAAACACGTGTGACCAACACGTCTCCGTTCAAACGTGTTCTGAAGGCTTGAGAAGGCAAACTAATCAAATGTCCACCGAAAGCTCCATTTGAGGGGGAAATTCTTAGTTCACTGCCTCAGAGCAAGCGTGAAAAACTAAGGAATTCCGTTCTACAATCAACAGCGCAAATCTTATTATTTCCCAAGGTTATCAGTGAGAGTGGAAGCCCAGAAGCCCAAGACCTCATGTCATCTTCTATCCAGTGACCGGGAGACGTTTTTAATATATTGATTTAATATAGGGCAAAACGGGGTAGCTTTTGCTGGTTTGTTTGAGTTCGTGAGGCTCAGAAACTTGAGTATGCTGGAGTTTTATGGCGTTGCAAACCAGGCAAGCAAGGCACTAAACTTTTCCGAGTTTCAGTCCCAAAACAATTCTTGAGTGCCATCTTTGGGTGTATCACCTAACCACCTGAAAACAAGAACTTGACTGTCGACTGAACGGGGTCCTTACTGCCGTAAAAGGGGACCCAGTTGGACCAAAAATGAACAAAAATATGCGCCTGGAGACGGACTCGGACTGCCAACTTCCCGCCGACCAGGGGAGTTTGAGTGTCATGGCTATCCCGCATCACTGGTTTCGCTAGCAGTTGCGATATGTTGTCTTACGTCCGTTGGAAGAGTCCCTGTCTAGTTCAGCCTGTATCGATGTCAATACGCATAGATAATGTGCTTCTAAGTAAGACTCTTAAAGTTGTACACTTATTGTTGTACATAATTACTACCAGTAGATGAATATTTGGAAAAAGAATTTGAGGGAGCATTGAAAAATCTGAGTTCGCTTTCCATACTGACTAAAAATGCTGTATTTTTTTAGAATAGATATTCGGCTACTGGTGAACGCAAGAGGGCCGTTTTTGCGCAGTCACTTATTGGAAAACGCCATTTGGACAGTTACAGACTATTGGACAGGGAAGCAAGACTCTCATATGCATCTTGTTTATAAAAACTGAATACCCGTCATCTTCTCGAACGCGTCCTCCTGAAATTTCCTGGATATTCATAGACTATTACTCAAATGCAAACAAATGCTACAAAGCAACTCCAAAAATTCCGTAATAAACCTCACTTTCCAATAGACGCCAAGCGGATTTACGAGAAAATATACTTCTCGTATGCCTCATCAGTAGTATCCACCGTTACACTGGTGTTTAATTTTTTTACTGACTGCTGCTGCTGTTGTTGGTTCTGCCTCCTTCATAACCACTGAATGTATGGTGTTCTGTGTTGTCTGTTTTAAACTGTGGTGCAACTTCAACGTCGGTTCCTGCTCCTCCCAATATGGTATATTAAAAGGTGCGGGTGTTTGAGACAGCTCTTTACCTCGACGAAGGGAGATCATTGCAATTGTATTTATAGGATGATCACAGAATGTTCCACAAGGTCACGCTATAAACTTTGTGAGAGTGTGATAAGCGCCGATCTTGATTGGCTGACATTCTGACTAGTCAGGGCAAGTCTTTGTTTATCCGGTATTCTGCACGTGATACATCCGTCAGATCGACATATAAGTGCGATTGGTCTCCGGAAATGTTGTAACTGGCGTTGCTGATGGATGCTCCGGAACGCATCTTGATTCAAGGGCTAGTGCAATTGCTCTGTAGATATGTTGAAGTCTGTGACATAACAAGGTGTCCATAACGGTTGTTAACCCAAGAATCAACGCATTTATCATGGTGATGATTGTGTGAGGTGATCATTTTCAGCTGAGATTTTTGTTCTGCAAGAGAAACCAACGCATGGTGAAAAGCCAAAAAAATACTATACAGCTGTTTTACTCTCGTTGAGAATCATCAGCATTGCGCGTCTCACTAAAATTCAAGAGGTTTCGAAGGCGCGACCTCTCAGTTAGTGGTCGGAGACAACTCTTCGGTCAAAAACAGCCAGTTCAATTAAAACGGAGACTTCATGTACTTAGAAACCCAACATTCACTGGTGCCACAGAAGTAAGGGTCTCATGAGGATTCTTAATAAATCGTCCTAGATATATGGAAGGCGGACAAACAGTACATGGTCGAAAGCAAACAGGACTGAAGGAATAACCATAATAACATTTACAGCATTTCATAATTTTCACAGCTGTTGCCAAACTCAACGAATGAGTTGACAGTTACTATATGATTCTATGCTCTCGAATAGTGTTGTAACTCGTTTGAAAATGTACGAGAGGAGATAAGTTTTGCTTCTAGCGTGATAGTATCCTAAATCAACATTTTTGAGCCTCCAGAACATTTGATTCAGTGGCCGTCTTAATTTATGGTTGAGCCCTTAAGTCAAAGAGAGAAATTCCCTCTGATCGCTGTACTTTCAGCCTGGGAGGGTCACGTGGTTATGGGGGCGTAATTGGAGGATCAGAGGTGTGTGGTGAAAAACTGTACCAGAATTTTTACACAATTTATTTCTCCGGTGCCCTACGTTAACCCAATTACAGCCTGCACGAGGACAGCTCTTGTCGTGGCTACCAAAGTGAATCTTTCTCACTTGGCAAGTAATACATTGCACGACGTCGGTTAAGTGCCCACCAAGTAGTTAAGCTAGCGCTCCTCCGAATGAATAGTTAACGAGCACTGGATAAAGCCTACCGCCGACAGTTAGGATCCAGAATAAATGCATTCTGCAAAGCACCGACTTTTAAGAGTGAACGAGCCAACGGATGTCCATGACCGCAGCTGCCCACGCTTGATCACCGGTGAAAATTCCACATGCCAAAAATAGTCTTGTTTTCAGCAGCGGTGGGCATAGAAAGATTGAGCCCTGAGCCTATTGGTGTACTATTTGGGTCATATTTCCAGGTGATTTCCATAGCGCGAACGCCGATCTCGGTATGTATTTGATTTCATGACCTTCTTCAATAACTTGTCGTCTGGCTTGGGAAGAGTGTGACCAAACGATTGAAGGTGACGCTGTTGGATAAGCATGGCTAACTGCCAAACCAGAAAATAGGGTGACTGAAATCCCTGTGGTCTACGCTGTTCTCAGAATGATCCTAAGACACCGAAATTCGAAGTCATGTAGTTCCAGGAGCGGCTAGGTCTTTCGGATGACGCCTGGGACAGATTCGAGTTTCCATTCTTAAGGTACTATCAGTTGCATATGACGGAATTTCCCTCAGTTAGAAAACGCTCTTCCAACAACGCTCATGAATGTCTTAGGTTTATCTTTGGTTTGACCATCGGTAAGAATAAAAAGACCGTTTTTAAGATTATGGAGATCGTATGGCGATACCGCAAATGGCACACTAATTCGAGGACGTTTACAATCTGAAAGGTCGTGTAATTTAAATTTCCGAACTTCTGATTACCAGTGCTTCCTTTTTTTCATGAACTAGAGACGTCACTGGCAAATTTCCAGATTATCCGGATGAGGATGCCGGAGGGTCAGCAGCTGTGTTCAGAGAGAAAAAGCCAGAAGAGTTGGAACAGGAATTAAAGGAGAAGGTAGGCGGAGCTTTGAAGTGGAGATATTACAACTTACTATAACAAGACTTAGGTTACGATAAATGCACTCATATTCATCTCACTTTGGTTTTCACGGGAGATTCAACTGAGCCTCTTGTTTATGATGAGCCCAATGAGCCCCAAACAGGGCGGAACCTGTCCTGGGCTGTCGACGAGTTTTCAGCAATCTTCGGAGCAGTTATTTTATGAAGACTTGGGTTACTTAAAAATGCTGGACGACCAACTGATCTCCCCTGTTTTTTTTAGTGTGAGATAGAAGGTACATGTGATGTAAGGACAAGTCAATCTCATTTGGTTTCAAACTGGTTCCTATGGTTTCGGTGCCTACGTCGACTTATTTTAAAGGCCAACAAAAGCTGTTCTTTTTGTTATTCACATCCATGTGCGTTCTCTAATGAGGTAGTCAAATGAACGTCCTAATGATCCTTGGTGGGCTATGACTGTTAGCTGCCATATTTTCTTACGTTGCACTTTATTTACGAAGACAGTAGTGTTTATTCAGCTTTCCTATACTAATTGGGCGGGGTGTTTCTGACTACTGCCATTTCCAAAGAATGGGGGGCAAAGCATACGACAGTTAGCCCGTTTTGTTTAGCTGCGGTCTCTTTCGGACTACAGCACGGTTTGCTTCGTGTCTTCAGGCGTAGATGTTGCATACTCTGCTGATACCCCCAGCAAACGGTGACCATTGAGGGACTGTTACATTGCGTCCTAACGTTTGGCGGACGCTTTCACCGTACTTGCCTATTGCACGCATCTGGTCAACAACGTCGATGTAGTTCTCAACATAAAGGAGGGCTTACTGAAAGGTCTTCCGGTCACTGAATGCTGATTTGTGGGCAGTCAGAAGCCGAAAGCATTAGGGGCGGATTTTTAAGCTCCACCTGGGCTAGCCTGAGGCTGACAGGTGTACAGGCAGACAGCGATGAAAAGCAGCACTGATTAGTGATGCTCTCAGGTAGTCAGTTACCAGGTGTTATCCAACCAGGGGATCAACCGCATGTAACACAAAACCATCATATGGCTATTACCTACCCCAAGGCATTGAGAAAACCAACCAGTTACTATTCTTTAACCCTAGTTTGGTTTTCTACAGGACCGGGAATGCTCTCCGGTAACTTAGTCGATCACTTTAGCACACTATAAGCATCTGTGTTTAGCGTCATTGGTCCTTACATTGTTCCCTTACTTCTAAACAGCGACCAGAAAAAGCATACCCACTCAAACGGCATACATACCCACTCAACTATCCATATGTGCCTGTCTTCTGTTTACAGTTTGCCACCTCATCCATATAAAAATAGGGACTGATTATATTAGTCTTTGTTTCAACAAGCCTGTTAGCCAGATTGAGCCGAGTTCATGGTGCCTCAACAGACGTCAAAATTTTTGTGATGGGTTTTGTTAGGGGGTCATGATTCCAGAGACGTCTGACTTTTGTCCGACATCAACCTTTTTTCTCTTCACACTCAAGTATAACCGGTGAGACAGAAGGTTAGAATGAGAGATAACTTCATTTGTCCGAACCACTTTTAGATTTTGTTCTTTTTCTCGTTCAGGACTTGGGTTTGTTGCTATTCTAACTTTACTGTTGAAAATGAATTAATGTATGATGTCATCGCCTGTGGAAACAGACATTTGAAACCACAAACGGGAGCTGTGTCCACGATTGACGCTCATTGCTCGCAGATCGCCCACAGAGCGCAGAGAGTTTCCGGCTAAATATGCAATAATTGCGTTGATAAGTTTTGGGGTGTAGTGCAGTGACAACAGAAAAAATATACGGCAGTCCAAGGCAAGTACGACAAGTCCACTTGATCGTGTACTTAAGGGCTTTGATTTACATATTGAATTGTAGCTTTATAATCATCCTTACCTACATTTTTACAAGTTACACCTTTCATGAGTCATGGGGGGAAATCTGGCTACCATCCTGCTATTCCTACCATCTGCCTCTAGCCTACTCATTCAGAATGAGGCGACTGGCAAAACTAGCAAGTTTACGTTGTACGGTTGTACGGAATCGGCCAACAGTTTTGAGCAGTTTGAATACTGATCGACCTTACCTGGCGTCAACTTTCTGTATGTAACTCATTTTCTTGTACACACAGGAGGAAGCCGCATTGAAGCAGAAGGGGAAGATGAGTGGAAAACCAGAAAAGCTCCCCCCGAAGAAGGATGCAAAGAAGAAAGAGGTAATGATTTTTTTCCATAAAAAATGACGAAGGTCGCCTAAACAAAAATTAGCTGCTTACGGATAGACAGAGATAACATGCAAACGTTAATTTTAGAGCGAACCGGAAGGTTGGCGTATCGGACCCTCCGTTTTCCTTGACGATTTGAAACAAGGTTGTCACAAATATGAAAGTAAGTGACAACTTTTTTTAATGAATAATATTAAATAAACAAACTAACTATAATCATGTAATAACAGTAGAAGGGATAGCAAATAGCCATCAAGTAACCTGGGGGAAATTCCGCCAGCAATTTCGATATAGGGTCCATGCTTTTCGCCACCAGCGAAAGGGTTTTAATTAAATGACGCTCTAGTAAATTAAAATGAGTGCTTATTCAACGAGACAATTACGCAAGACATCTATATTCCTCACTATTTCTGTGCCATCGGTCTGCAGAATGTTAAAAACTTTAGTTGCTGAATGAAGCCTTTGGTCGGATATCATTAATGCGACATATGATACATGTTAACTCGTTTTCGGCGAACAACTGCTCAAAAATCGGTAATAACCGATAACACAAACTAATAATAATATTAAATATGGCACTGTTAGAATAATGGATTACATAAGCAAAAAAAGATTGATAGTGGATATGAAGAAAACTCAGGGTATCCTTTTGATATCATCCCATGATAATTTGGACCAGCGATATGCTCCAAACACTTGCTCCTCTTTACTAAATCTTGGCTTTTGTTGATAATAACGGTTATATGTGAAGATTTGGTAGTATCCACTAGAGATTCTGTCCTATTAGTGATGGAAATCCATACTGAAAAGTCAGGAGCCGCTCTAAGCTGTTTCATTCCACGAAACAAACCCGCAACCATCCAGCCGCCAACACTTGAACGTTTGGCCACGAGCGACTAATTTTGAAAGCACATCAGTAATAATTTAATGCGTCTGGCCCAACCTGATGGGATATTTATTCATCAGTAAAATAATGTAACCCATTGGTTTTTCCATCTTTCATTCGTTTCCAGGTGGAATGAATGTTTTCCCAAGAATAACGATATTGAAACTGAAGTCTTATGGGCCAGTGCACTTGTTTATCCTTCTGTACGTCAGAGGTGGTGCGCTTCTAAACGCTCCGCTAACTTTTCCAGCGCACAGGCTTAAACAAATCATGAGTACCACTCAAGAAGGGAGCCCATTAGCCGCACACTGCTCCTAGCTGCAAAACCGTTACGAGTGGAGTAAACACTTTTGCGCCAAAATGTTGCATTTTATTGCGTATGTGCTCAAAACCAAAAAACACCTTAATCTACTTTCATATTTTAACGGCTCACCAAATTTCATTGTCCAGTAAAGCAATTATACTTCTGGCGGAAAAAACTGGTGGAATAACTTCCCAGCATCGCTGAGACCCCGGGATGCCTAAATGGGGCTCAAAAGTTTAGACTGGTACTCTGAACTCAATTGCCCGATCGTTTTGTCCATCAGTGATACTTCATAGCTTTTGAAAATTAATTTCCATTGTGCGAGTACTGACCTGCCTCAAGAAGCACTCGTAAACCTGGACAGCTCACTCCTTTTCCATCTCGTTCAGAAATAATTAAGGGACATCATATTTGTTTCTAGAAATTGTCAGAACTTCATTTTTGAGATACTATCATTTTAGCCCTCCTCAATTAACTGGTGATATTGTTTACACTAAAAGGCACTTCAAGGAAGGCTGGGATCTTCCATTTATTTAAATCAATTGGGTTGATGTTGGAAGCTACCCAAGTTGGAATGGTACTGTAACAGAATAAGGTAGTGGGCGGATAAGCTGGGTACGAGCAGAGCTTGCCAGCCTGTGTCATTTAGGGTGTCAGAACTCAGTTTAGTTTAATCTAAAGGGCCTTGTCTACAAAAATACTGTAAGAATGGTTTCACTCTATGATTATGATTCTCAGCCCCGCCGATCCTAGGACCCTCGGCGTCTTCGAACATTTGATCACTGTTTTCTCCGGATCACAGCAAGAGTAAAGAGAAATATTGCAATTTTACATGTTTCACCAGATCATTGTTAATGAAAGATGAGGGTGGATTCAGCCGGGTCACTAATCAAAAACAGCTTCATATGCAAATGAAGGTGTCCAATTTGAGTAGAACAGAAGAACAACATAAGGAAAGTCGAGGACCGCTTTACTCAACGAGCCTCAAGAAGGGAGAAACCGGTTTCGAGGTGTCAAACAGTCTCTAGTAACCTTATGAATCCTGGGTAAGATCTAAACAATGCATTGGGATATCCCAAATGTAGTACATCGGAAAATTGAGGCGACCTGGTGCAGCACATTCTGAAGGGGACCACTACAAAAGAAAGATTCAACTGGATGTATCTAAGTCTTCCGTAGAAAGGAAATCGGTATGCAAGCAAGAGCGATTGGCAACTGAAACTTCTGTTTTACCACTTGAGGAAAAAAGACGCCATCTCTGGAATAAGGTAAACGCGTTTGTTATCGAAAACTATTGGCTCTTCTACCCTGGTTCGCCTCGCTAGCTCCAATGAACAACACTACCGTCAGATCTCGTTCGAGCCCTGCAAATCCCCTGATGTGCACCAAGTTAGTGAAAAATTCCCTTTTCCCCTAGAACTAGAATGAGTTACATCACACTAGGGCTTAAGCTTACCACAAAGGGTGAAATTCGGTTTGAAACAGGCAACAGAAACATGCCCGCCTGGTTGTTAAACTTTGTACATTGCATCACCGGCTTATTGTCTACCCCAAAGGGGGTGAGCGCGTCACTGTTTCGTAAAAGTAAACCGATTTTATACCGACAACCTTTTCTGCTTTTGTTCGCCCACTATTCTACCCACAGCATTCTGGGCAAAACGTGACGAAACGAGTAATTTTGCTCAGCATCACGATGAGGAAATTATCAGAGAAGACAAACGCGCCGAAGTTGAAGCCGAAGTCCGCATCCAGGTGTGTTTGCTTGGCTTCAGCTTTGTTTTGCAAGAAGGTATTTGATTTATTTTTCTAATAAAGGTGCCCTTCCGCTTCGAAATAGCAGTGGACACAATTGGACCACTTCGCGCTTAGTTGTAGGTGAGGAGGTGAAGCTCGTACTGAGCTACGTGGTTCGAACCTGATCTCTGCCTCTCGACTTCCCCTGTCTAGGCTTGACCAAGCCGGTAGTATCCCAGCCCTTGTGCAACCTTAGAGTGGCATGGCAGTTAGGCACTGAAAGGTTGCTACAGCTGAACAATGGCTCCCACAAAAAAGAATGCACTGCGGGTCGTCGGAGTCATCCATCATTGCCAGCTACGCAAACTCCCAGGCAGAACAGCTAGCTGCGGTAAAAGGCTGTTCAGCCGGAGAACGTTGAATACAATTATAGGTGTTGCGTTTAGTTTATGTGGACATCTCTGACCTGGTGTGCTTTTCCGGGTAACCAGACGCTCGCCTGAGTGAATGCGTGGAGGTGTAGGGACTAAGTGAAGCATCGGTGTTGTGATGTGATGTCATGCTTCGATGATGGTTGGACACTGATGTCATGCTTTCGATGATGATGATGATGATGATGATGATGATGATGAGACGCTCACCATTGAATTCTGCCAAACAAGAACCAACCAAACATCAGTTCACGGTTCCTGGTGTATCGTGTCGAAGACCAATTCTATTTTCAAAAAATTTTGAAACTTGTTCCAGTTCATCCATGAACTTCTCTATGTCGATAAATCCAGCTGTGAAACCGATAATGCGCTTGTTGCTAATCCTTAAGGTTTTCTGTAAAACCATCTCTCATGGTGTGGTGATAAGGGCCACTGTGGGAATCCTCGTTCGACTTTACAACAACAGAAGATAAAACATAGCTGCAAGTTCTTACACTCAACAAGCTATCTGGCTCAAACAATAAAGCCTTAGGAATGTTGACGAACCAACAGTAAAGGCACTGTTAGAAATCTTCTGCGGATCAAGCTTATTAGTCTCCTGTATTCAAAAAGGTTTCACACACGTGGTCTGGATCACGTGGTATTATTCTGGTTCCGGTAGCAACTAATTGCCCTTGTATATTTTTCTTCACGGAATGTGTTTTATACTACTAACAGATCTGACGCCGGGTAAATAATCCGATTTGCACGCCGACCTTCTTTATGTAGAATAAATTTTCTGTATTCCTCAGCTGAGGAGAAATCTGCCTAAAAAAACTAACAATCGTCGTTGTTCTGAATAATCAGGCAACTTTCGGTGCCTGTTTAAATTTGAGAAAACCGGCAAATTAATCCAGTAACTGGAGGCGTTGTACCACTTAACTTCGTGAAATGTTTGGACGGGCTTTTGTATCTCGTTCGCCGGTTCAAGGGGTCTACCGGTCTACCCCTTCAGATCGGGGTTTTAGAAACAGTGCACCAAGTTGAATCCCTCGCAGTCATTAGCAGAGGTGCTACTACACTTTACTCTTTCATGCTGAGATAATCCCTGCACATAGACAGTGTTTCTTCAAAACGGACTGACGAACAGTCTCTCAACAGCTTGTCGAGTAGAGGTTAGGTACTTCTTTAAGTTTACACAGTATTCAGCAATCCGGAAGCCTTTCAAGAAAGCAGACGAAATAAATCACATTTTATAGATTGGTATAATTCGAAAAGTCAATTTTCTATAGAAGAATAGCTTTTTTCGGGCAGAATCCTTTGGGTGGGAGAGAGAGTCATCTTCTGTCCGCAGAACTATACACCGCTTTCTTCCTGCATTTGAAAAAAACATAAGCATTTTGCTGGTGTAAAGCCATCAACCGCTAAATACTTTCTACGACCACTTGTATTTTTTTCAAATTTATAAACGCATATAATTATTACTGAATTTTGACAGGTCGACGAGTTGTTGAGGACAGAACTAAGAAATCTGAAAATTTCAATCGACAAAGAGAAACTTCGACGAGTGGCGAAAAAGAAAGGAAGAAAAGGCCGTAAAGGAAAGAAGGGTAGGCGAGGACGAAAACAAAAAGATCTGACTCCTGACAGGTACACCTATATAAAAATCGTCTGCACTTTTAAAACTGTTAGACGAGCAACCTCCCTTCCAAACTCAGATTAGAGGACATGTGCTTTCAGTTCGAGACAACTTCGGGGTTTTCACTCACGGAATGGTGATCTTTGTCAACATTTTTCCTGAAACGTGCAGTGCCCCAAATGTTAACTAAAAAGAACACGAGGTTTTAATGGTATCACCTTTTCTAGACTTTGGTGCTGAATTGGACAATGTCAGTCGCCTTTATCCTGTTGAGACTATTCGACGAATTTGCTAATTGCACCACCTCGAATCCCCTGTTTCTCACTTCTGTCAACTTCTGTCACGATTTTTGACAGCATTACCGCTGTTGAAGATCTCCCTACCAAGTGTTGTTCACTTAAGATGACTGTATCTCTTCAGGTGCTGGGTTTGGAACACTTAAGTGACCGTTGTCGGTTTTGTAGGGCCATTTCGGAGTTTTTCGTCAAACTACACATCTGAGCTCAGTCCATGAAATTTTATTATCAATTGTGTTTGAAACTTCGCAACTAGTCAAGCGCAACCCAAAATGTTCCCACATCCATCTCTCAGGATCAGGCCTTTCGTCTTCATCCGTTCCTTTGAAGTAACAAAACTTGCGATACAGCCCGAATACTAAAAAGGAGGACTAGAACACTGAGACACTGGTTTCCAGCGTTTCTCGGCTCATCGTCTCCTAGTTTCCTATGCAGAATAACACCATACCGATTATTTTGTATGAAATTAACCTAGTACAATTAAAACACAACTTACTGTATTCAATAGTGCTGTAAAATGTTACGTACTAATCATACGGAATGGTAAGAGCCATTCGGAGGTCGGCCAGTTTAGTGGAGTGCACAACAAGTAGTATTTTGTAAAACTAACTTGGGTTGAGGTCCCCCTGGAAAGGACAACCCCTAGGAGTGGCTAATTACTTCGCTCTCGCTTGATCGCCGCTCTTGGTGGGAAAATAATTCACAAAATATCATAGCTGTGGATATGATTTATCTTAGAATGTAAGAATGTGTATCGAGATGAGGGGCACTTAGATAGTAACTGAGATCCTGAGGTATAACCTGAGAGTTAAGAAGAAACATGTTGAGTGAACTGAAACTTTATCCGTTGGGCCCGATATCGGGACCAAAATAAGCGCATATTTGATTTTTTGCTCTGCATTTCCTCATCTGCAGTCAAATTCTCCTAAATAATGATGGTGAAGATACTTTACCATCAACACATTGAACGCTTAGTCAGTTTTTAGTGACTAGTTTTTATTCAGCCATGGTTCTTCAGTGTCCATCTGGACAAAGAGGCTTTGTATCAGTCTACTTAACAAACCCACATTACCCACATGATGGGATGGTACAGTAGCATGTACTATATACTTCGTCAAACGGATAAACCATGATAACTGGCCACAACTGCCTGCTAAAGTAAAAAATGTCTTTGATAACCTTTTCCACTCCATCTGGCCCATCTTCGATTTAGTTCCCCCTTTAGTAACACTACTTACACTTGCTTCATACTGTTTATTTGGAGGCCCATTTCTTCTTACCAGATTTCATCACTCTCTTCTGTGCAATGTGCTGGCTACACACCACTGTATGGACGCACACCCTGATGCATTTTGTTCGTTGATTGCGACTAGTTTAAGTGGGATCGAAGTCTTTGGAACAAAGTACCAGTGTTAGTTCCTCCCGATGGCAACCTGACTAGTGATTCGGCAAATGATACTTTAGTCCTTTCCTGTGAACATTTTCACACTGAACCACATAAAATGTGATGCAAACAGAAATTCCAGTCCTTATGAGGGTATCATATTGTGACGTTGCAATCACGTTTCACTCTTTTACAGAACCCTCATTTCATTATACGAAGAACTGGTGCTTGCTGATATTATCAAGAAAGTGAAAAAGACACAGCTGTCTGATTTTCTTGGGGAATACTCATTCCTCGGAACTACCCTCCGACAGGCCAACATTGAGCCACAGCCAAGTCTCAGTGATGTACGTCGGCTCCTGACCGAGTATGCAATATTGCCCCTGGGTAAGACTTTTTAATAAAGGCGAAACTAACCTGGAAAGCATAGCAGTTTTATCCTACTTTTCTCTCGCCTTGTAACTCTTGGCATGTTAATATAGATTTCGGGGAATATCTCGTGCGCTCTTGCAAGCTCAGTCAAACGGTGACCAGTTCAATAACACACGGACACGTTGTTTGGCTGTGATGTTAAGGAATCAGCCGCAGGTTTTCTAATTGAAATTTCGTGTAACTGCAAGCCTACAGCTGATTGAGAATGAACCGAAGATGTGAGACATTACTTAATGGGCTCTCCAACTACTTGCAAGTAGTTGGGACGTCCATCGGCGTTGCCAGCTAGTTAACGCATGGCACACGTGCTTAATTTTCAAAAATACACGAGCTACTCGATCGCGATCATGAGAAGGAGAAGGAGCGCCAATAGATTTTGCCTGTCTCCTATTCCTTAATGCACCTTTTCATGGAAGACCTGCACTAACGTTATTACGTTATTTAGTTACTAAGTTATTATCACCACTTTCTACTACAGTCTTTAGGATACGCAAAACGGATGTCTGATCAACTAACCATCTGATTTGTTGAGCACAGACCGAGCTGGCTTGGCGTGCGTCTGGAACTGTTAGATAAACGCAACAAGTTCTTGTTGGTATTGAATTGGTGATAAACTTTGGCAAAGAATACTGCACAAAAACCTATGATCATTCTAATGGGTTATTCGTATTCCTACTGGCATCCAGTAATCTCCATGAGGAAAGACCTGGGAACGAAAAAAGACTTCCTTTCGAGGCGGGGGACGAATAATAATAGCAATTTCCCATGCTATCTGTACCTAAGTATTGCGAATTTGGTGGCACCCTAGTGTTTGAATAGCTTTTATGAATTTGCTATAGAACATTTTCGTCGACCTGAGACAGAAACGTCAGATAGTCAAGAAAACTGCATATCTTTCATGTCATGGTGGGCATGTGGAGTGAACGTTAATCCAAATCATCCAGACCATTACAAACATCATTTTTGTGTATTATGATCAAATCCGAATGAGGACCACAAAATAGTGTGATGTATGGCAAAGTTTTTCCACAGAACAACAAAAACGGTGACGGGTTATTTTTTGAATTAACGCCTGACATGCGAGGCGAGCATGTAACCACTGCTCCACCAACGCACTTTGGACGCATCTGAACTTTCATGTCTGAACAAGTGAATGTGTTCACACTTGAGCGATGTGATTGATGTGCCCCACTGATCGAACGACGACCCAGTAACTGTCCTGGTTGTGACGATCGATTGACCCGCCAATTGGGACTTCCCAGTCAGGTGGCGTGACACCTGCTTGAAACCCACTGGACAACATTTTAGTTGCAGTTTTGGGGCTTTGCGGAATAGGTATTTTGTTCATAGTCACACCACTCTCGTCTGAACGGTCGTTCTTGATTCCCCGCTGATCTGCATTGTTTTCGTTGATTTACGAGAATACGACTTCGTGTAAGCTTTTACTTAGACTCAGCTGGATAAAACAGCTCTGATTTTTATGATGATTTGGATGGGGAAGAGGCTGGTGAATGTTAAACAGTTCCTTCCTTTTAGTCTGATATTTGCGAATCACAGAAATGCAAGAGGATGGTAATGATGGATATGTAAGGCTGTTAAATGTCCAAAGCATTCATTTTGAGAGAAATAGAAAATCCTATCCCAACTTTACAAAGAGTTTTGGAAAACAACCGGAAAAAAATGAAATTTCGCGGAAATTACATCGTAAGACCATCACTGATCATCCTTCTACAAACGACCACCTTAGTGAGTTTCTCCGGAGTGTTTCTTCCAATGGGGGACTGCTCGGAGCAAATGCGTGTTTGTGGGATGAACAGTTTGGCGAGAATAGGATAAACAACTAACTATGTATTAGGAGAACCAGCTCCGAAAGTAACGGGACTACATAACCGCCAATGGAATCACCGTTTTTCGTTGAGACAGATTTCATTGCTTGTTCTTCACTCGCCCTTGACAGATGAGTTTCGACCGCTTGCACGCGGCACTGATCAATAGAGCAGCTGGCTCGCACGTTCGTTGACAATTCTGGTTTGACCAAGCGCACCAAGCGATTAGGCAGCTACCCAGACCGGGGTTTACGGTAATAAAAAGGCATCAAGGGACCGTGGTCCACAACACTATGTTTTGTCGGACCGGAAACTAGGAGTGTAGGAAGTACACGCGATGATAGCAGCGAAATCCCGTTCGTAAGTTTCCAGTAGCCTTATGGCTAGCGTGTTACACGAGGTAAACGCAACTGGTTCCACAGTTCACGAATTTTCAGTGCGTCCTAAGAGCTTGTACATTCATCCGTCGAGACGAAAAATGTCTGAAGAAAGCCCACGATCCCAATTAATGAAAATAATCTTTTTACTCTGAAACAGGTTCACAGACTGTTCACGAAAAGGCTCCTCATATCAAATCCATACTGCTGGCCGGACCACGGGGGACAGGGAAACGCATGTTGGTGCATGCAATTTGCACGGAAACCGGTGCAAATCTGTTCGATCTGTCGGCCACAAATCTGGTTGGCAAGTATCCCGGAAAAGAAGGACTAAAAATGCTAGTGCATCTGGTATTCAAAGTGGCTTTGCTTCTCCAACCATCAGTCATAATGGTAAATGAATGTGAGAAGATGATGAAGAAAAAAATTCCAAAAACCGACCTTGTGAGTTTATCACAGAATATGCATTACCGTTTTGATATAGAAAGACATAACTTGCGGTCTAATTCGTGATTTGTCAGATTTGTCGATCTGCTTTTTGTAACTCCATGAAGCCAGAAATTCTAATTTGTTCCGATAGCTCCCAAAAGATGCCCTCGATCTTCTTGCATACATGGTTTTGGAGTATGGTTCCAGCTGTACTTTTCTTTAATCGTGTCGCGACTGTGCTCAATACGTATCAAATCTAATTGCTGAGGTTTTTAAAATGGTTCCACGTGTTCGATTGAGTGTTTTATCTTATTGCATGCTCCCATCTACGTCTACAGCGTCTCGGTACCATCCACAATTTTCACCACCAGAAATGCTGACCATCCTCCTAACTTCTACCTCAACTTCAGTAACTTTAACTCAATTGGATACAGAGTCTTATAAATTCTAGACTGGCTTTCGAATTCCAGGAGAAGGTAGAAGCAGAAATCAGATATCAGTCCACTTACTGAAGAGCACAAATCTTTCTCAGATTAAACATGTAGGAGCTGCAGCCAGCCTGAGATATCATTAAAATGCTTTCTTGTGACAGACGGACCCCAAACGACTCAGGAAAGAACTGCCTAGAGCTATGAAGACGATCCGTCCAGGGGACAGAGTCTTACTTGTCGGTTGTTCCTCTGCCCCGTTTGAAGGTGAAATCAAGCCAATGTGTAGTTTGTACCAGAAGATCATACTGATACCAAGACCCGATTTTTCGTCCCGAAGTCGTAAGTCCCGTAGTTGTTCAATGTCAGTGATTGAATATTATCATTCTAATGTCTATATTTGAGCCACCAAACGCGTCTGTTGTCTCTCGATAACCTTTATGTTTTTTGTCTACTGTACAAAACAAGCTTGCCTCTGCTCAATACATCGTGTTTCGGGCTACCCGTAGAGTTCAACAGTCACACGGATTTCCTCCAGACTTTCTTACGGGTAATGGAATTTTGAACGAGTAACGTTTCAGCTGGTTCCTGTCACTATAACTCCCCCTTGAACTTTATCACGGCTGACTTTAACACGGGTCAATACGGGTCAATAAGATACAGTGGCTATCACCTCAAAAATTTGATGCTGTTTGATGTCTTAAAGACGAACGACAATGTTTCCATTGCTGTGAGTTATCGCTGCGTCTCACATGCCTTACCGATAACGGTGACCTCGGCCAATAAAACAACGGTGCTACCAATCTAAATGCGGAAAACTACAATGATTGGACCAGGAAATTTCCAATCAAAGCCTACGACGAAGTGCTCACTGAACGCAGTTGATTGGATGGATATGAGCACGTATTTACATCAAGTTCGCCCGAGTTCCCTTGTCCAATGATGGAATATATCTGGCCGCTTAGATTCCCCCAAGTCTCGGTAACAATCATGAGTGAAACTTCAATTCACTTTGGCATACTGTTTACGGTTTTTGATGGGAACCTGCAAAACACATAGTGGATATAAGCAACTCACGTGATAAAGCCCTCCACGTGATCTGTAATGGTAGCTGCCTGATCAGGTAAACTGATAAAATATTCGGTTAGCAGGAGCCAAGGCAAATATATATAAAGCCTGCTTAAGCTAAGGTCAAATCAGTTTCTAGGCAAGGATAATTGATTATAGATCGACTCTACAGCAAATCACAGTCATCCGTTGAACTGCTACGGGAAAAATTTGAACTTCCCTGCTCAATTGAACAAAACGAACAGACCATGATGGATTCTACCGTGTTGAAAAAAATGAGAATAAGAGAGCGCTTGAATACCTAGCTAAAAGTACGCACCGTTTTGCCTTCAGATACAACATGAAAAGCGGTGCCAAATTCGAATATATACCAGAATACGGAAGTAACGATATGAAGATCGTGCAACACTACTGCGATGACCTTAGTCATCCGCTATACATTGGTGGTTTCCACCATCGGCGATGGTCCCCTTGTATTGATACAGTGTTTACACATCCTTTAATCTCACGTACTTTTTATAATTACACCCAATAAAACCAAGTCGAATGGCGCGTGACGCACGTCCACCAACTCTCTGCTACAGTACAGATGCACAAAAGTTCACACATGAAAAACATACGGTTTGAAACATTACACTACCATTGTTCTTATCTGAATTAATCTCCTTCTGAATCTGTTAGATCACTGCAGTTCACATACGGATTGTGTGTATTTACTGCAAGGGGATAAGTATTTTAAACCTCCCGGGTACCATCCTCGGTTCCACAACGTCGTTTACCAGAACATGGCCGATGAGCAACACATTTGTTGGTCCTTCTTGAGGGCGTCAGTATAAAATGTGCCTGTAAATGAGGCTTTGTCAAAATGTACCATTCTCGGGCGGATTGATCAAGATCCTAAATTTATGTGGCAAGAGAATGAACCTTAATTCAATGGCCCAATTTTTAGAAATATGCGATCTGTTTACTTTTTTTGGTATTCTATCTACATTGTGCCATTCGGCACTGTTTGGTGTACAAGTCTAATACAATGCTAAAGGGGCAGTGGGTGCTAACAGCAAACTAAATGTTCAGTTTGTTGGCGGAATCAAGTACTCGGTGTCTTCCTTCTCCCTTGGTCTTGAAGTCGGTCATTCATCATTTTCACTCACCAGTTTAAATGTTAGGTTGATCCTTCTGAGATGTTTCACCGCAGAAAGAAGGTTTTCTCCGATAAACAAGTATGCTAATTCATACGTTGTCTTTTTGTCACACGAATACAGTCTAATAGTGAATGGGCTTTCAGTTGAGATTAGTTTCTACTAGTGAAGCCAATCTATGCTGACAAGCGAAAACCTTTACAGCCATGCCATCGTCAGCAGTGCGAATCTGAATTTCGAACCCGTGACCTTCCGGTGGCCAGTGATTGAACACTTAACCGTTCGGCCACCAGCGGCTGAACAGCAGCCCTCACTTAGAATTGAAATAGGATTGACTTTCATCTTATTGCCGTACATGCCGACGAAACTCACGGCCAGTGTTCAAAACTGCCAAAAACCTGGCACTTCTCGCTTGTATTATCGGAATAACTGACTCACTTATTCAAAGAGAGAGTCGACTTGGTGACTGGTCTGAAAGTGAATTTATTACTCTATACTGCAGCAAGACCAACTTTCAAACTTGATTGGTACAGTGAACCTTGCAGAGTACACAATAATACACGTTATGCTTATCGGCGCTATCCAAAGATGTGCCAACTGAGTTGCATAGGATCTTTAAAAATACTTTCAAGAAACAGTCAGGATAAAATCCCGTGGCTCCTCTAATTTCCGGAGATGACGTAACTATAACAGTGACAGTCGCCAACAACTCTGTAGTAAATCGGAAATATTCCTAGAAATCTCTAAAGCAACTTTACAACTTTTATTTCAACTTAAAAAAGACAGGAACACCTGAATTTTCATCACGTGATCTCAAGATGTTTGCTCATCAACCACATTACCAGCTAAACAACGGAGCTTTCGTCGATCGATTTATCTTACAACATTTGTATGTCTTTAAAGCCTTAATTAAGAAAAATAGGCCAACTACCGTGCAGGTGACGCTTCAAGTGATATTCCATGATTCGCGGAATCACACACAAACCACTAGACAAATTCATTATACGGATACAAGCGCCGGAAATAACCAGCCAATCTGAACACAACTACTGAACATGTTGGCTCATTACAACTTATCGAAAGCCAATTTTCATATCAATAATGTACACGTTTTTTAATGTCCGGAAAGTGATCGTCCCTGCCGAAGAGAATAAAACCCAAAGATACCAAAAGTTTCCGGTGCCTTTCGGGTTGTTGGCACTTTTCCAACCCATCCAGTGGTAAATTTTTGACTGGACTGAAACTTATTGTTCTCCTAGGTGACAGATCTTTTTAAGAGGTTGGTCTCCAGTCGAAAGGACCAAATTGGGTGATCACAGTAGATACACGTCTAGCCTAGTGGTCTTCCAGGATTGTCGGTATGCTAACCAATTGTTTTCATCAATATATCACCTTGTGAACACAAGACTTCGACATACTGTTTTCTGCTTAGGTTACATATCTATGAAGTGAGTAAACCTTGGTTTGACATGTAGAGAATGAGTACTGCAACACGTCTCCGAACACTGACAGTGATATGGGTTCCCTATTTTATACACATTCAGTTCTATGGCGCGCGTTGATCGTTCGGCACGGAGGTCAGCTGACTTCAGCGTTGGATACAGTGTCGCTTAGTAAAGTATCCGATGGCTATACAGCAGGCCAAATTGACTTTACTTGTAAGCAAGTTCTGACCGACCGACGAGTAGCTCAGCTGAGCAGAAAACGATTAGTCGCCTCGGAGTTCATCCCTCCACTGGCTACACTGGATCCAGTCTATGCAGAGGAGGAAGAAGCCTACAAGGTATGTGCAAAAATTGATTTTAGTCAAATCCGAAATTCGAACTAAGAAACAGAGGATTGAATGACCAAAAATCCCAAAATTTTAATAATAAAGCAGGAAAACAAAGGCTGCGGTATTTCGACATTTCAATTTTGTTTCTTCCAGCCCCAATACTAAAACCCCATCAATTTAACATTCTAGGTAGAGATAGGTAGAAACAACTCTTATAATTCTTGTTCGATTTTTTCTGCAGTTGTATCGCTTCCTCTTTACTGCCGTTGAGATTGGGAGCTACAGATAAAATTTTGGGGATAAAGTCACTTTTTGGCCATCAGGCAAAGATACTTCTCATCACGAGCAGTTAGAAGATCGTGAATATCATTGAATCTCATTTATGATAGCCCGCTTCAAATGGATGGATTCAAGTAAAGCGTAAGGTTGACGGAATCTCGGTGACTGTGCCTACCTGAAGAGCCCTAACAAAGGCGAAATCAACAGCGGCCCGTCAAACAGTTTTCAGTACACTTGTGAGTAGTTTGGCTCTTCTGGACAGTAATGCAATGCACTATGTCGAATATCGTACCTACTGAAACTTGAGGTGATCTGTTGCAGCGCATTCACTTGAAGAACATCATAAACGTTCACTTGAGGAGCCCTAACAAAGGCGAAATCAACAGCGGCCCGTCAAACAGTTTTCAGTACACTTGTGAGTAGTTTGGCTCTTCTGGACAGTAATGCAATGCACTATGTCGAATATCGTACCTACTGAAACTTGAGGTGATCTGTTGCAGCGCATTCACTTGAAGAACATCATAAACGAGAGATTCACTTGAGTCTCCTGTGAAAACCAAATTGATTTGCAACTGAGCGTATTTGTCTCAGTCAGTCCAATTTGGGTTCAAGTAGAACATAAGGTTGACAGAAACTCGGGGACTGCGCCTACCTGATGCGTCCCAAGAGGAGCGAAACTGGTCGTGGGCTGTGGAAGAGTTTTCAGCAACCTTGTGGGTAGTTTCTTTCATGAGAATAAGCTGCGATATTCCGAATGTCGTGCCAACTTAAACATGAGATGGTTTGCTGCAGCACATTCAGCTGAGGAGGCTCATCAAAAACGAGAGATTCAGCTGGAGTCAGTTGAGTCTCCTGTGAAAACCAAATTTGTATGCAAGCGAGGGTATTTTTCGAAATCTGCACGACTTCTGTCAAAGTGGAACACAAGATTGATGGAGACCCAAGAACTGTGCCTACTTGACAAGCGAAACAGGCGAAACCGGCTGTGAGCTTCCAGCTTGAGTTATATGTCCATAAGATGTTCTCCAGTTATCGATAATAACGACTGCTGTATTTGTGAATAACATGACCGTTTTGGAAAGAAATCTGTAATTATATTACTAAGGTTTCGTATCCCTCATGCGTAATATTTGCGATAGACTAACTTGACGGTGGCTAGACCCAATTATAAGTTCTGCACACGACTGGGTTCGGACATTGAGAAACAATATTTGATCGTCCTAAACATTCGAATTTCCGAGAAATTCCAGTAGAAAGTTTTTAATAGTATTTCGTGCACCACATAAGGTAGAGATGGAGATGTTTCTCAAGTTGCAACTAATTTTTTCAACTCTCATTTGAACATCCACTTAGGTTACTAGAGGCTCTAGTTATTCTAGGGGGTTATTGACTTTGTAATACGAGGAAAGATTTCGATAATAGGCAATTCTCTCCAGTTCCTTAACCACTGAGTTGCATCCATCCTCATCAGTTTCACTCGAGGAGCGTTTTTCCGTAGATTCGTGGCGTTTGGAAACCAGACGCACGCAATGACAAGTACGTCGAGTTTCATCGGTCCTTAGTATATCGGCGTGATGATTCTCTTAAATGCAAATCAAAGAGGATAAGAACTGGGTCGGATTTCGTTCTTATAATGTCTCATGAGCACTGCACTCTTCGGCGGTGCGGGGATCGGAATCACAGCCATCTGACCTGGAAGCCGAACAAACGATGGATACACCCGAATCGTGACGTTTGGATTGGTGAACAAACCGTTGAATAATAGATATCAGTTTCCGGCCACAAGTAGCTTAAAGATTTTGCTGCAAGACCATTCCCAAATTCAGTGGTTGGAAGCACTGATAGCAGATTTATCTGAAGGCAATACTTCATGAAGCCAATCCGTCCGCTTTCAAGAATCATATCTGAGTCCTCTCTCATACGGACTAATTGATCGTTTCAGGTGTGGTACAGGAAGACACCACTCGGGAAGCAGAAGGCCTTGGCTATGGAACGCGAGGCAGAAGCTGTCGCCGCTGCCGGTGCGAAGAACCAAAAGGGACAAAGAGGTGGAAAGAAAAAATAACTCGGGAGGAATTGCAGAGGATAGAATAGGGAAGTATCCTCACATAATAGTACTCTGTATAAATATCTTGATTGCTTTCTCTTGAATGAATAAATACTGACTTAAAGTTGTTAGATGTCTTCCAGACTCACTCTCCTTCGGTATTGAGGCAACCAATCAGATTGCGGAAATATAAATAAGCTGCTATTTTTTGGCCTTTCGTTGATTAAACATCCCCTGGAAAGGGTTGATAGAGGGTTGAAATTTATCCCGTCCATTTGCCTTCTAAGTTTCAATGTTCTGGAATCGAGATAATTCAACGGAGGAGGCGCGAACCTAACGATCGGAAGGTCCGTAATTCCAACCATACTCAACATCTCAACTGTCTAGGCTTCGACACCCCGGCGGTCATCATCATCGATAGCATGATATCAGTATCGTATCCCTTACGTCTCCTTTGAATCCATGGCCGCTTAGCACCGAAAGGGTGTTGCCGTTGAAAAGTTATCATTTTTATTGAGAATCAATTAAGTCAAAATTGACAAAATGCAAAAGAGTCATGTTGTTCCTTCCAGGAGTGCAGGCGATCCTCATTTGCAATACTTAGGAGAAATCGAATTTTGCAGTCTTTGGGTGTGTGCGCCAGTTCATTTGCGTGACATATAACTAACTTCATACCTTCTTTCACCAGAAATGTCCGAGTCACCGATAAAATGCATGTGCAGACAGCAATATTGCTTCTGTGCATTGATTTCCTAAAGTCTTTTGGGAACGAAATCTTTGAAATACTAGATTTTCCGTTTTAGAGTTCTCAATGGGGTAAATATTCGTCTAACCCTTAGCTCGGAACAATCATTGGATTTTACAGTCAAATCTATTGCGTAGGTTTGACAACGAAGTCGATTCATCTGCCTCTCAAAACGGTAGGTTAACACAATCAATTAACGGACACTGCCGTTTCAGCTTGGCTACCAGGCTACCATTGCAGCCCAAGGGAATAAATGGCGTCCATGAGGATGTTCCTGATTAGTCGAGCAAAGACAGTCCACTCACTTGAGAGACGTATTCGAGAAACTGTAGGTGAGTGAGGGATTCGTGGAGTTCAGATTCACGTCACTCTAGTTTGAACAGTCCTGCTCTTGTCCTGGTATCATTATTCCGATGAGTTCATTAAAGGGTGATCACCGGTCCCGAGTTTTATTATTAGTGGTGCTTGTCACCATGTCCTTGGCCGTGCCGGTGATTGAACTCCCCAATACCTCATTTGTGAGGCGGGCGCAAGTGAGGAGTTGGTTTCACTTCTTCGTATATTATTAGTATTTTTACTACCATTATTAATATCTATAAGAATGCTAGTTAAAAACCTAGTTGTTTCCGCGGTCTTTCTGAAAGATTTAAAAATTTGTCACATTCCCTGAAATTTTGTTCCCCACACTTTCGCTGTCAATTTTAATTTTCCGTGAACCTCACGAAATTCCTCGCCGTACGAAGAACTGTCTACCATGAAGTCTTCCGATAGAAGCTTCCATAGCATTCCATTACTAGTTGTAGGAACCAACTAATGAGAAGTGCCTCTTTTTGCTATTACTAGCGCACAACTGAGAACCACGTGTGTCAGTTAACCGGTGTCATGTATCCCCGATATTCCCTGTTTCAGAAAATTTTACAGCCTAAGAGAAACGTCATACTGAGGGCTGTAGTTCCACTGAACAAAGAAATACAGATACGGATACAAGTCAGTCAACAACAATCAAACAGACGAGAATCACAGGGATGTGAGTAACAGCGCAGTTCCCGCTTGAATCCATTGATTCTGGGTACCGGTCGGGCAAGGCACGCGAAGATACGTGACCAAATGTTGACGAGCGCTGTCCAAATAGACTGGCAATGAGATGGAGGCTTCAATGCGTATAAAATCTGGCATGTCCTGCAGGTTGGAGGGGGTACGAAATTAGAATGGTGGTAAACATTACCGTGCGAATGGTATGTCCATAGGTCGACATATTATACAAACCAGCATCGATTTAGAGCGACGGCTTTCAAACTTTGTCAATTAAAGATCCGTAATTTCTAAGTTGGAGGTGTTATATTCATGGGATTTGCAGTCGTCCAAGCCACCTAGCGCAGTTCTTGGTTTTAACATGAGCATAATTTCATTACACTTGAGCAACGCCATTTCTGATTTCTGCTGTTGCTATTGACACGGCTGCTAAAGGTGATGGTGACGATGACGATTATGGTGGGTGAGCGCCTAAGAATGCATTTTTGGAAACGGTAATGGATCTCAAAATGCAAGTACCTGACTAATCCAACTTTCATCAGCTACTGAGCCCTTCTGTGAGCACCGAGCGGGAAGTGTATCAGTCTCTTAATGGGTATTGGCCCAAAACTGCGTAGGCAGCCTACTACTTGGATTCACATGGAGGTGAGTTGAATGCTATTGAAGTGGGTCAGAACATAACACGGTGCTGTAGTTTATACTCCCCGCTCATTCAGGATTCATGGCTATTTCTCAGGCCGGACAACTTGTACTTTTAAATTATAAACGTTGGTGCGCACAAAAGCATGTCCAATGTGTGCTTATCGAACGTTTCAACCGTGCCGCATGGCTACCGGTCTCGTTCGTCATTCCATCCTCAGCTGGCAAGCAACACGTTGTGGAGTCGTGAGAGAACGTGACAGTTGTATTGCATGATACACTTATCAGTGATAAATTTAGCCCAGTAGAAACCCCGCTGTGGAGTCGGGACAATGGACTCTGAGTCATCCCGCCGATGACTTTGCGCGGCCAGCTTCATCTAGAAGCTGTATTTACATTTGATCCTACCAATCGACAGTCGTTTCGGGCCACCGCTACTATGGAAGGGAAGGCAGAGTGAAACCAACATGACAGGACAGTGACGTGTGGAACTCAGACGAAAGTGCTGCGCACGTTTGAAAGTAGCAAGACTGTCTGTAATGCAACGGTTACGCAGGCTTCGAGAAAGCATATGAAAAACCATCTGGGAGTTGAAGACCTAGGAAAGATAACGTTTGAGACAACAACAATTCGGATAACTCAAGGCCATTAGCTCAGCCAGGCGGTGGAGACCGTCGCATTTATTATACAGTATGGGTTTCACATATTGCTGGGATTGCAATGTTTGCTACCGAGGTTGCAGGTAGCTACGTTTGGCTTTACGACATGTTGGTTTGCTGTTTTGCAGTGATTTGGTCGTACGTGGAAACGTGCAGTTGGGTAGTACAAAGTCGATCGATTAGGGAACGGGTCGGACCTCCTTTAACGTGTATCAATCAACGCATTTGGAATGCACACACTTTCTGACAGCAAGATAGCACCAGACCATTGGCGGAACAGCCATGCTCGACATTTAGCTCGAATTCCCCTGGGAGGATACAACCCATTCCGAGACACATTTTAGTGTTTGATATGCATTTTCGACAAGTAGAATATATATATATATATATATATATATATGTATATATATAT